ATTATTATTATAAGGATTATTTTTTAAAAAAATAGATAAATATGAAAACAAAATAAATTTGAGTCATATATTTAGTATCAAAATAAAAATCAAACTAGTTCTTATAATAGTGTATATACAAATAAATCCCATGCTAGCAGTTGGGTGCATTTTAATATCCTCATTTTTTTTTTATGATGGTCTGAAAGTAATGCATTTTCAAAATTAAGAAATAAATCGTTTTCTTACCGGAAAAAACTTGATAAGAAGTTTGGAAGGGTATTGTATTATTATTTGTGCACTTTTTAAGGTAGATTCGTCAAGGTTTTTTTTTTTTTTGGGTTCTGTATAGATTTTTTTTTTTTACGGGAAAGGTTATGTATAGATTAGGATGTATAATATATATATATATATATATATATATATAGTTCTTGTAAAGTTTTTTTGGCCAAATATAGTTCTTGCAAATTAAAAACAAGATTAGGATGTAGTTGACTTTTTTTAAACACACTATGATCACAGTTAGAAAATTTGAAAATAAAAAGGAAGTAAAAGAATAAATTGAATACGTGTCTCATTCGAGATTAATTTATGATGAAAGTCTGTGCTAAAATTAATTATTCTGATTTCGAGCCATTTCAGTACTCTTTCAATTTTTAATATAAGATCTAACTATTAAGTTGATTTTGGTTTAAAATATAAGATATATTTCTCATATTTATCAATTTTTCCTGAACTACCCCTATGGATATTCTTTCGATCATAATTAAGTAAAAAAGAAAAAGAGAGGATATTAAGGAAGATGATTATGGTATTTTAGAAAAATATATCTTATTTTTTATAATCAACTAATTTACTTAACTTTTTTAATATAATAAAATTAGTTAAATAGATCTTATATTAAAGATTGGAAGAATATTTTGTAATGATTAATGTTGAAACAAAAGTACTACGGAAAGGGAATAATGTATTTTTACCTTTTTGTTATTTAATCACTCCGTGATTACGGTTTAGAAAATGTGGAAACAAAAAGGAAGTGGAGGCACAGACCCACAGACTGATCTAAAATTCGATTCCTTCTTTGTTATTTTGGAAGGTCGGTTAATAAAGCAGATTTTAGAGATGCAAAAATCTTACAAAAAATAATTGTCCCGATTTCCATTTATTTTTTAATAATTAAGAGTGAGAAAAAACTGAAAAAATAACATGGTATTATTAGTAAGAAGTTACGAGAGGAAATATTAATATTTTTCAAAAAGTTGTCAACATCATAGGGTTAAGCGTAATTCTTTTAAATAAAAAATTTACGAAGACCTTAAATAAACTGTCAAATTGGTGCAAAACAATTTCACAGCTTAAGCACTGATGTATCTAATTTATCCTCATCATTATGATAATAATATTTGAATTTTGCTTTGATAAAATATGAACTTTCCAATATGACCATTAAGTTTTTTTCCCTCCAGGTGATATCCCTCCAATTCCAATCTTTGCTATTTCGGTGAATTTTATTTATAAGACCTTATTTATTGGTCTTTAATAAAAACTCCTTATAAAACTCAATAAGACACTTGTGACTTATATTAAAAAGATATTCTCATCTGTAAAATTTGTTTATGTATAGCAAATTTTAATTAATTTTCTTAATCTCATAACTATAGTTACTAATATGGTTTTATAGAAAAGGTTGAATGGATGGAGTATAAGACATTTTTTTACTGTTCTTGTATAAGATCCTCTTTATATAAAATATCATTCCCATAAATCTTGTTTATAAAATATCCATCTAAACAATTGCAAATTAAATAGGAATACTAATTGTAAATTAAGAGTTACAGTTGAAACCTAAAATGCCTTATTTGTAAATGAGACTCTCGAATTTGCAACTATCTAGCTCGATATATGCAATTCATTTTAGGAAGAAATGTTCTTTTCAACTCGCTACAAAAAAAAAAATTTGTTTTTATTTTGTTGCAGTTATTTTATCGCAATTTTAACTAATGTGAGTGTTTGTCGCGGTTTTGCATCCAACCGTGACGAATCTGCAATGCTTTGATCGGTAATGACATGTGTGTAATGACACCAGCAGTTATTTTGCATACAATCGCTGTAAAGGGAGTGTTTGGGAATGCTTAAAAGTTTTTTTAAGAAGTGTTTTTCTGCAAAACGAGATAAACTCCTCTATATATTTACTTCGTAAACCGTAAAAACACTTTTAAAATTATGGTTTAGTTTACATCCAAATACTTTTAAATTATGACGTGAACGGTTGGCTTTATATGGTGGGAGAATTGGTTTGGAATATTAGTAGCGCTTTAGTGCCGAAAACCGCTACTAATAAAACAAGAGTCTGATTTTGTAGCGGTTCGTCATAACCACTACAAAATCAAATTACATTTGGGTCTCATCAAACCGCTGCAAATTTTTTTCAATCTCAACGTTTATAACCGATTGGACAGTGATTTCCTATTCAATCTAAACAGTTCACTATAATCAATGAATTTTTTTTTGAAAGACAAAATTTTAAAATTTGACAAGCATTAGCTAATTTTAATTAGCCTTTTTATCTGCACAGATTCATTAATACTCCTCCAGTCCTTAATATAAGACCTATTTAACTAATTTGATTAGATTAAGGAAGTTAGATAAGTTAATTTATTATAAGAAATATGACACATTTTTCCTAAAACACCATAATTATTTTTCTTAATACCTTTTCTCTTTCTCTCTTACTTGATTATAGTTGAAGAAGTATCTATAGGAGTAGTTTAGAGAAAATTAATAAATATGATAAATGAGTATTATATTTAGGACCAAAACCAACTCAACAATTGGGTTATATATTAAAGACCGGAGGAGTATATCCTTATTTATAATAAAGAGTTATTGTCCCATTCAAGAATAATCGAAGGAGTAATTTTTCTGCACCGCGTGAAAAAAAGTCAGACAAAGTTTGGTGCCGACGCCCAATATACTTGAAAAAGCAATGTTTTAACGCAACAACGTGCTATATGAGCAGTTGAAATATGTGTAATGGCTAAACAATATACGCCAAGCTTTTGTTTTCACATCAATTATTATATAGAGAGAACATGCCACGATAAGCAAGACTTGCTCTAATAATTATAAAAGGAAGTTAGATTTTAAATACACAAGTTGATAATTTATTTACGGATATTAATAAAATCAATTAAATTATTTATTATTGATAGTAAATATTTGTTGATTTTTTAAAAAAATTATCATATTAATAGAAACATCATTTAACGTAACATATGCGATTAATAGAAAAAATTTAAGAAAAAGTAAAAATATTGATTAGGGGTAAAGTTGTTTATTAGCCAAAACAAAAAGAATACAATTGAAAAGTTGATAAATTTTAAAGCTGAGTTAATAATATTTAAAGTTTTTCTTAAATCTTATGAAATATATTAAGAGTAACTTATAAATAGGATTGGACTATGTATATGTTGAAAATGTTGTAGAAATCATTGTATGTTATAAATCATTATATGAGAAGGAAAAGTTTGTTGGAAAAATTGAAATTCAAAATTTGCATATTGCAAATACACACATCTTTAATGACATGCAGGAATATTAAAAATTGAAACGAGCAACTTTAATTTGAAAGCGGTAATTAATCTAATAAATAAAAAATTCATCAATAAAATTAAAAAATGTCCAACTATGATAAACCGGTTATACTGATGGCAAAACAGCAATTAAAAAAATTAATGCCCGGGACCAGATGACTACGTCGTCTCATTAGCCAAGTGACATCACTTTACATAGCAGGAAGAATTACTATGAGATTTTAAAAAAAATTATAAGAAAATTTTAATAATAAAAGAATCACTTTACACGGCATGAAAATTACTATGAGATTTTTTATTCTAGACATTGTTATCATATGCTGCTTTATTGTTATTGAGATTTTTTAATAATTATATTTTTTATTTGAGATTTTATAACAATTTTCTCTATATAATCAGTTGAGCAATTTTTCAAAATAAAAGGAAAAATTAATTTATTCAAACAATATAAAATGTTAAATGATAGATAAACTAGCCAGATTCAGCCCCTTATATCATATGAGGACATAAAGTATACAGGAGAGTCCAGTTTAGGTAATTTTTAGCTAATTTCAACTAAATTTTTTATTCAGGTAATTTTTTGATTTGTATTTTATATATCGAATCGAATTGACTGTGTATATGAAGTGGATGAAATATTGGGTCCATTAATAAAATAGAGTAATTCATAAATATATAATTTTGGAAGAAAGTAAGTATAATAAAAAAATCTAGAAGAATGGATTTCACATTAGAAATTATTATGGCCGTTTCCCACTTGAGTGATTATTATAATAATTAGGTTACGTCTTTTAAATTGAATTAATAAATTATGAGGAAAACATCAAAAGACATATTCTCCCACACGCTCTTTTACCGTTTGTCCACACCAACTCCTTCCATTGACTTTGTCTACATAGCGCACGCATCCTTGGAAATAATTCACACAATCAGAACCATTATCTCAATTTTAAATATTACCATCCGTGCTTAATAGAAAGCCCGTTAACTAATTTAAAAAGATTAATAAAACTAAATAAATTACTTTAATATATTTATTTTTATTATTTTTTAAACTAATTTGCTTGATTTATAAACTGATGGATATATAATTTAATGATACACAAAATATTTTAAACAAATCATTTAAACATAAGTTATAATGAAATAATTTATTTAGCTTCTTTAAAAAAATTTTAAATTGGTTAGCAAGATATTATATTAAAGATTCCTAGCCGTACTTTAAGAAGTACTATGAAATAACAAGGAAGCTACTTCATATTGAAACTGGCTTGTTCAACCTTTGAAGCATTAGTGCCGGTGATTAATTAATTAATTAATGCATTAAATTATAATAAATCTTGGTAGCCACGGTCAAGTGCTATAACTATATAAAGGATTAGATAATCCATGTTAGATCATCAAGCAAATTAGAGAGAGAGAGTTGGAGATAGCTAGAGAGAAGAAGATCATGGGAAGCTCAATGAGACCGATGCAATGGCCTCACATCATACTGGCAACGGCAATTTGCCTAGTTGCTATCAATAGTGTTAGTGCTGATTATGACCCTTATTCTCCACCCCCACCAGCTCCTTCACCGCAACCGCCATATTACTACAAGTCTCCACCTCCACCTTCTCCATCAGCACCGCCTCCATATTACTATAAGTCACCACCTCCTCCATCTCCATCACCACCTTCACCATATACATACAAATCGCCTCCTCCTCCGTCTCCTTCACCACCACCTCCATATTACAAGTCCCCACCTCCATATTACTATAAGTCTCCACCTCCTCCTTCTCCATCACCACCTCCACCATATGTGTACAAATCACCTCCTCCACCATCTCCATCACCACCACCCCCGTACTACTACAAGTCTCCACCTCCACCATCTCTTTCACCACCTCCACCATACATGTACAAGTCACCCCCACCCCCATCTCCATCACCACCACCTCCATATGTTTACAAATCTCCCCCTCCTCCTTCCCCTTCACCTCCTCCACTATATGTGTACAAGTCTCCACCACCTCCATCCTCATCTCCACCTCCTCCATATTACTACAAGTCTCCGCCTCCTCCTTCTCCCTCCCCACCTCCGCCATACATCTACAAGTCTCCACCTCCTCCATCATCTCCTCCTTCTTCTCCACGTTACTACTATAAATCACCCCCTCCTCCCTCTCATGGCTACTAGTCACCATTTCATAAGGTTTACGAAGATTGTTCTTAATCTAATTTGAATTGTTTCAATGATACTTTTATATATATCCATTATTTCTGTCTGTATTCGATACTTTCATGGATGATAGGGTTCAAAATAAAATGCATATCTCATAGTGTATTCCTTCTTGTGATTTGTATGCGATACCATTTGTCATCAGGTGAATAATATAGAAGAGTGTGATATCTTGATATATTTCTATGTCAAATTTTATAATTTGATGGAGTTAGTTGAGGTTTTATTTGTTTTATTATTTCCTTTAATTGTACATCGTCCCTTCTCAGTAAGATTCAGGATCCCAAAAATTAAAATTTGTAATATAAATAATCGGCTTTTTCCAAAACAATGCTAATCAAAACCAAAATGTTTTTAGAGACCGATCACTTTTTTTTTTTAATATTATTAAATAAAAAAAAACTTGAGCCTATTCCAGTTATGATATAATATGGTTCACGTACAAGCTCCAAGCAAGAAAATATAAATACAGCTAATTAGCGATTAATCACTTGCTAGTAATAAAATGACTTTCTAAACCTAGTAAAGATGGCTCTCAAACTATTTCCAAAATCAGACCAGATAGGGGCAAAAGAGTCAAACATTCTTTAAACTAGTTGTAAAATCGCTCCGGAGAAGTATTTTTTTGGACAGTCCCCAGCAGCCAATCAAGAAAGTTCCAAAAAACGCAAATAAAAAGGGGCAAACAAGAAAAAGAAAAAGAAAAGAAGCCGGTCATGGCCAATGAACAGGGCTGGCTATTACCTAACTTTTTCTACTGTGGTTATTAATATAAAAATTAAATAATTAGTCTATGAATATTAAAAAGTTAATTAAATTAATTATTTATAATAAATAAATTTTTTTTAAAATAATTTTGCCCTTCAATATCTATAGTCGTTATGAGGACTATTAAAATAAATAAATATTAGAAACAAAACATATTAAAATATTATATTTACAATCAAACAAGCTTTTATATTTAAAACTGGAGATAATACAAATACTTTTTAGTTTTTACCCTTATATTTTACATTGATTAAAAGGAAATTGGTGTGAAGAGTGCGACCCTTAGAAGTTAACCTTATTTAAAATAGTTATTTTACATTAAATATAGATATTTTGAATCGTGTTTTTTCCAATTTGTTATATATATAATATCAAAAGAAATAGAGTATAAAACTAAAACAAATGTTGAATTCCAAACTTTAAAAAAAGTGATATTTCAATTAAAAACAAGATTTAGAACTTATAATATACACAGTTAAAATAAATTTAGACGACTAATAACCATAAGTGATATTTTAATCCTATACTGGGATCTTATACATGTATATTCAACTTTTACTGCATCAAATGTACATTTTATGATATAAGAATTTGTGATACAATATTGTCTACAGGGCTAAGATGCTATATTCAGCTTCTACTTATAGATTTTAGTTAACCAATTTTGATATTAACAATCTAGTAATATGGTTCTTTGAAGTATATTACATAAATGATGCAGCAAATGGCAAAAATAATGATGAAAACATCAACAGTGAGAGCAGTCGCTGCTTGATCACTGAGCTTCATGTTCCTTCCTCCAAGCCTATCAACCATGTCTGGAACAGATTCCCAGCTCTTCAACTCTTGCTCACGAGGATCCTCCAATCTCATCTTCATCTTCTCCGATTGCCGGCTCGCCGCCTCTTGGAGAAGCGTCCAGTCATAAAATTTCCGCCTCTCTTCATTGCTCAGGACATTGTAAACTTCTCTCAACTTCATGAATTTGTCTGAGGCAGTTTTCAGAGGGAGTGAGGTTGTGTCTGGGTGGTATTCCTTTGATAATCTCCTGTAAGCTGCTTTAATCTCTTCTATATCAGCTTCTGCTGAGACTCCTAAAAATCTGCATATTTTCAATATGAATCAGTTTGTCACGAATCCCACAATTATTTTCAACTTACTCCCCGAATAATATATGTCCTTAAGCTCTTTCCCTATATTTGTTCTTCTCCATGAATTGGTACTTCAAAATTTGCACCTTATATACATGCATTATTGAGTTAGTCCTCAAAATAAAGTAAATATACAAACTGATCAAACAAAAGGACTAAAATAGGATATATTAGCTTCTAGCACCCTTATGTTATTTTCCAGTTGCATCAAGTACCCCAATTTTATTTATGACACATCGAGTACTATAGTCTTATTTATAACATTACGGGTGCATGCCTCAAGATAAAACATCATAGTGTTAAATGCATTAGGAAAATAATATCAGAATACCAGATATTGCTGGAAAATAACAGAGTGCTGACCACTAAAAGATAGCAAATTCAAGACTGAACCAATTGGCTTAAAGAAACAAATTCAAAAACTTCACCATCACAAGTAATTCTCATCTTTCAAGGACCAAAGTTGAACATGTGCTCTGTTCTTTTTTCCCCCCACCTTGCTCTGTTCACACATTGATAATAACACTGTGCATAATCCAATTTCTCATATCCAGCGTCAAAAACAGTTTTAAATTGAAACCATCCATATCCAATACCATCTGACGTTCCTATTATATTTCACTCAAATTAAAATCTAAAAAGGGTCTATCTTTGAGGTGTTTGTCCTGTTACATGGTATGATTGCTACGGTCTGAATATTTTTGCATTGGCATAGTCCTTGTAATTTTTAGCCAAAAATAACATTTCAGAGTCAAAGCAAGCGCTTACTCGTAATGAGAGCCAGAAAAATCAGAAATCAAATCAGCAAAATTTTGGCCCAGCACATCCTCTGGCTTGGATTGTTTACTATTACTAGTGGAGCCTCCGAGCCAACCCTCATCTTCGTTGTCCCAATGGATCCTTGTGTCAACTCCAGGGGGTGCTTTCTGGCTCCTGCGAGGCCCCTCTGAAGTCTGAGAGGCACGAATTCGAAGAACCAGAGCCCTAGAAGTGGGGCTTTGGAGGCCGAAGAATCTGGTCGATCGGTGACTTCGTGAGAGAGCGTTGTGTAATAGAAACTGTGTAGCTGCTACGGAAGCCATGGAAGGAGGGAGGAAGGAAGAGTAGAGACAAAAGAGAAAGAAGGAATGGTGTGGTTCTCAAATATGACGGAGTTCATGTCGTTCATCTGGTTAGGGTTTCTGTGGTTCACATCATTTCTGAGGAGGAAATTGGCCTCTTTCGAATGAACAACCCATTTGGACAGGACGCTTTACATTACAATGTGTATGTTTTGGTTTGTTTGTTTTCCCCCAAAGTTTGCCAGCATCAAGAAATAATGAAATACAACATCCGGCCTTTAATATAAAAATTAATTTAAATATAATTAAAAAATTAGTTAAATTAATTATTTATAATAAATAGATATCGTCTTTTTTAAACTTTTTTACTAATTATATTTATTATTTAGAACTATCATTTAATAAAATTTTTATGATGTGCAACTACTGTAAAGATTACCTTAAAAAAAATGTAAATATAATAGATAAAATGAATTAAGATCTTATATTTAAAATCAAACTGAATACTAAACTAACTCTAATACTATTAAATATCAGAGTTAAACTCCCTTGCTTGAAAAATACTTGTGCAAAGATAAAAATACTTAAGATCCGTTTTTGTTGCCAGGAAAATAACTTAAGATTATAGTGTGTAATTTCCCCAATTATGTCTATTATATCTTTGGTTATGTGCCAAACTGAAATTTTTTTGGCGAGCCTACAATACCCGCATGAAGTTCATCAGGCCACTATAAGCAGGATGAATCATCTCAAATTAATACCCCTTTGATTCTATTTATAAGAGAGAAAAATATTTTTTTGTCCTGATTATATGGCATGTTATTAATTTTGTTACTAATTTTGCTTTTTTCTCCAGATTAAATGTGGGTGCATGTTATTGGATTTTTAAAGTTTATATTAATAAATTTTAATTTTTTAGATTTTAAAAAATATGTTAAGTTATAGCACAAATGCGGAAAGATGGACGGCGGCTGAAGCGCCGTTTGTGTACGACGCCGTTATTTCTGGGGTAGGAAAATATTATGCTTGGGGCCACGTACGGCGTCGTTCTGTTGGGCTTGGCGTTACTCAAAGAGACTTCAGCGAAACGGCGGTGACCTCGACGGCGCAATAATGTCCATACTCAATACTGATGATGCCACCAGCTCCATTACGAAGAATGCCCGTCGACCATCCACGGCTTCGTTGAGTTCTTCTATCGGTTCGTCTCGTTACTTCTTTATTTAGCGGATTCTGATTCCAAGACTTTAAGCAACTTCCTTGCAGCAGAATCAGTTTATTCCCTTCGGTTGTAACAGTATGCATAAGGGAAGGATGCATTTTTGTCCATTGCAAGTAAGGCATTTCGGTTTTGTTCCTCTCTATTTGATTTGTGTTCTTCTCGTCTTCCAAATTTTCTCCTTTTCCCCTTGTTTAGACCAATGAATGGTCCAATGCTAGTATGCGGGTTATCCGGGCGATTTACTCCCGATTAACAGATTTGTGAAATGCATTCATATTAGGTCTTTGGTTTCTACTTATTTTTTGTGTTACGGTATTTAATTTGACCAACTCTGCTGCTGTAATTGCTAAAAGTCTGTTATTGCTTAGGCAATTTGATATTAATTTGCGGGTGTCCTCTTCTTTTTGGCCATATGGTTAGGATTGGTTTAATTTGTTGCTTCTAGGATCTGGATTCCCTGAAGTACTAAGGGGATCCTGGTCCAGGATGACACGTTGGGAGTTTTGTTTAATATTCTCTTTTGGGCAATGCATTAATTGATTCATACGGGAATTGCATGAAAAATTCAATGGAATTGTAATATTGCATTGCTTTAATTTTGAGATTTTTTTTGGGTTTAGGTTTGGGTTTCTTGCTGAATAGTCTTGGGTTTTTTTGATAAGGCTTGGCGCCCCTAATTGAGTTTGCGTGGAAGAACAATATAATTATTGATTCTTGTTGATAAAACTTCTTATAAAGTGTTTTGAGTTTGCCATACAGTTTGAGGAAAAAAAATATTTATTAAGTTATAAACAAGATTTTTTTTTTTTTAACAAAAATCTTTGTATATGACAATTTAATGAAGAATTTGTTTGTAGTGTTGAAAACGATACTTCTCATCTGTTATTCATATGACAGAATATTTTATTTTTGTAAAAATATTTTTCGTAGAAAATTAGTTTTACAAACAAGAAAAACTATAAATTGCACTGTCTGACGAGGTAGAGATTAGTGCTGCACTTAACCTGCTTCTGTTATGCCCAAAGCGGTAATTGTTTCATTCAAGTTACATTATTTGTACTCATATCTTGTTAGATGCTGATAATTAAATCAGGCTGTTGAAACTAATTCCGATTTTCCCTCTTACCATGAGACAGGGTTAGGGATTGTTGCTCAGTCAATGCACGTTAAACTTCAATGTTCCTTCAGATCTTTTGGCGTGCCAAACTCTCTATTATGCCATTACTACCTAACTTCTATTCTTCAATATTCAACTATTCCACATAATCGGAACTTAGAAGAGCATCATCTATATGGTCATCTGCTGCAGTCTTGCTTACAGCAATGCAGGCAAATCAAGCATCACTATCTTTTTGATGAAATTTCTGAGAGACGATCAGGGATCTCAAGAATTAGTAAAATCATTCATGCCCATGGCATTAAAAATGGAATTGGGTCAAAAGGGTTACTTGGAAATGCCATTGTTGATCTCTATGCTAAATGTGGCAATTTGGGCTTTGCTGAGAATGTGTTTGCTCAGCTGGATAATAAGGATTTGTTGGCTTGGAATTCACTTCTTGTTATGTACTCCAAAAATGGGTTGCTGGAGAGGGTTCTTCAGTGTATTGGGTCTCTAAGAGATTATGGCCAATTGCCTAATGAATTCACTTGTGCTATTGCTCTGTCTGTATGTGCTAAACTGAAGAATGTTGAATATGGCAGATTTTTTCATTGTTGGGTAATCAAGAGAGGTTTTGCATCATTTTCTTTTTGTCAGGGTTCTCTTATTGATATGTATGCCAAATGCAACTGCATAAGAGATGCTCAAAAGGTATTTGATGGGGCTTTGAATTTAGACATTGTTTCTTGGACTGCAATAATATCTGGTTACATTCAAGGCGGTTTACTGGAGGAGGCCATAAAAATGTTTGAGAAAATGCAAAAATCTGGTTTTTATCCAGACCTAGTTGTGCGCATAACCATTATGAATGCATACTTGAGCTTAGGAAGGGTGAAAGATGCATGTGAATTGTTTATGCAGATGCCCACTCGCAATGTTGTAGCATGGAATGTAATGATTTCAGGTCATGCCCGCAGAGGTCGTAATGAGGAGGCTATCACCTATTTCCTTGAAATGAGGAAGGCTGGCATAAAATCCTCAAGATCCACTCTGGGGAGTGTTTTGCGCTCAATTGCCTGTTTAGAGGCTCTGGATTATGGCTTGTTAGTTCACGCGGAGGCAATCAAACAAGGTTTGGATAACAATATATATGTAGGAAGTTCTCTGATCAATATGTATGGTAAGTGTTTCATGTTGGATGCTGCAAAGCTAGTCTTTGATGTAATAGATGAAAAAAACATTGTCATATGGAATGCGATGCTTGGAGTCTATGCACAGAATAATTATGTTGACGAGGTTATGGACTTGTTCTTCTGCATGGTGAGATGTGGTATGGGCTTGGATGAATTTACATACACCAGCATTTTGAGCTCATGTAGTTGCCTAAAATACCAAGAAATGGGTCGCCAATTGCATTCTATTATTGTCAAGAAAAGATTTACATCTAATTTATTTGTGAATAATGCATTGATAGATATGTATGCTAAAGCTGGGACTTTGAAGGATGCTAGAAAGCTATTTGACCTCATGCCAAATCGAGATAATATATCTTGGAATGCAATTATTGTTGGATATGTGCAGCAAGAAGATGAGACTGAGGCTTTCAACTTGTTTCAGAGAATGATTGGCCATGGTATTGTGGCTGATGAGGTGTCTTTGACTAGCATACTCAGTGCTTGTGGAAATGTTAAGGTCCTGGAAGGAGGACTGCAAGTCCATTGTCTGTCAGTTAAGTTAGGTTTGGAAAGAAGACTTTGTGCTGGAAGTGCTCTTATTGACATGTATTCTAAGTGTGGGGCCATTGGAGATGCACAAAAAGTATTTTCTTGCATGCCAGAGTGGAATGTTGTCTCCTTAAATGCTCTGATTGCAGGGTATGTTCATAACAATACCAAAGAAGCTTTTAATCTTCTGCATAAGATGCTAATCATGGGACTGGAGCCATCTGAAGTTACATTCGCAAGCCTTATAGATGCTTGTAGGCCGCAAAATATAACGTTAGGCATGCAGCTCCATGGTGTCATCTTAAAGAGGGGTCTTTTGTGCCGTAGTGAATTGTTAGGCGTCTCTTTGTTGGGCATGTATACGGAATCTCAAAGAATTGCAGATGCAAATGTTCTTTTCTTGGAGTTTTTCAATCTCAAAAGCAGGGTATTATGGACAGCTTTAATTTCTGGACACACACAAAACGATTGCAGTGAAGAGGCCCTGACCTTGTTCTGGAAAATGCGTGAGAACAGCATTTTACCTGACCAAGCCACATTTGTTAGTGTTCTTCGAGCTTGTGCTCTCTTATCTTCATTACAAGATGGGGAAAAGATACATTCTCTAATTTTCCACACTGGTTTTGACTCAGATGAGTTAACTAGCGGTGCTCTAGTAGACATGTATGCTAAATGTGGAGACGTAAGAAGTTCTGAGAAAGTTTTCAAAGAAATGAATTCTAAAAATAATGTTATTTCTTGGAACTCAATGATTGTTGGATTTGCCAAGAACGGGTTTGCAGGAAATGCCCTTAACATATTCAATGAGATGACACAATCAAGTGTTATGCCAGATGATGTCACATTCCTTGGGGTGCTTACTGCATGCAGTCATGCAGGTTGGGTTCCTGAAGGCCGCCAAATTTTTGATATGATGATCAATCAATATGGTATTCAGCCCAGAGTAGATCACTATGCCTGCATGGTTGATCTTCTTGGTAGATGGGGTTTTCTTAAAGAAGCAGAGGAGTTCATTGAAAAACTAGATGTTGAATCCAATGCTAGGATTTGGGCCTCACTGTTAGGCGCTTGCTGTATACACGGAGATGAGAAAAGGGGGCAACAGGCAGCTGAGAACCTCATTAAGTTAGAGCCTCAAAATTCCGCTCCTTATGTACTGCTTGCTAATATATATGCGGCATCAGGACATTGGAAACAAGCAAGGTCTTTGAGGAAAACAATGATAGAGAAAGAAGTCCAAAAGATGCCGGGATTTAGCTGGATTGTAGTGGGGCAAAACACAAACATATTTGTTGCTGGTGATAAATCACATTTTAGTTCAGATGAAATCTATGAAACTTTGAAGCATCTTACGGCACTAATGAAAGAGGATAGATTTCAGGAAGGTGGAGCTTTTCAGGTTTCTCAAATTTAGTCATTTGAAATAGTTGAAGTTCTGCAGTTGACTCTAGTTTGCTGCCTGACTGAACATGATTTTGCATCTTTTGCTGTAAGGGACACAGAGAGAGATAAGATATGTGCAACTCCTCTTTTCCCTTTTTTTATTAATTATTTTTAATTTTACATTTCTTAGGAATTTTAGATGCTAATAGGGAAAAATTTTGTTAAGTTGAACATGATACATTTATTGAGTGGTGGCAATTCTACTTGTTTCTTCCAATGCTTAATTAACTGTTTTCTTGTTTTCTGGTTGTTTTGTGTCACGATGTTATTATATAATGGAAAAACTTATTTTCTGGTTTAACGACTTTAGAAGACTTTGAAGTGCTTTCATATGGTTCATTAATTTTTATATTAACATCTGTGGCACTAGAAACTTCCAAGATATTGTAGCTTAAAGCACAATAGTTAACTACAGGATTCAAAAGATATGATTTGCTCAAATTTTTGTACATAAATACTCTTGGAGGCTGAATTTTTTTGGGCAGGAAATAATCTAAGGAGATGCTTGAAGTGTGCTCATAAAACCTCACCCATATTGATGCACCTAATCACTACTTCAAGTATTTTGCTGATTAGACTGAATCCAGAGCACAGTGAGATGATCTGATTTATTGACTAAAGTGATTTCTAAGGACTGTAATGCCTTTTTAACTTATTTAACTGCAATGACCTGTGTTTTCTTTTTCTAGCGCAGATGATCAAAGGGATTTTATTGTTTTGCTTGTCTATACATTATCAATGTTCTTGGTAGGCGGTCTTACTTCCTTCCCTCCGTCACTCCCCCCCCCCCCAAAAAAAGCACACACGCTGGTTCTTATTGGAAAGCAAGCAAATCTACATTTTATTTCATCCAACAATTGTCCATCCATTTCTTGCCATTGGATATTGACAGTGTTTAAATGTTTCATGATTTATGTGTGTTCTTACTATCTGCGTGGGCTGAAGCTGTTGATGTTTCTGTATTGAGAACAGTTATCAATTGACAAAGCTGCAAGAAATAAACCTATAAATTGAGAGAGTGTGATTTGGATTTTGGACAACTGAATGAACTGACTTTTGAAACACACAATGATTTTGTTTGGTTTCCCCATTCCGACTAGTATGCATTGATTCTGTATCATTTGCCCTTGCAGGTTGAACCTTATTTTCTTAAGAAAACACAGCACTTGTTTGCAAATGACCATATGGGCATGAATATTTGATTCTAAGAGGGTCATCCAGTATGATGTTGTTTATTTTTGGCAAAGGAAAGTTGACTATTTTACCGGAAGTGCCACCCCGCCAAGCATTGATGAGTTTATGCATGCATCAAGATCAGAGAACTTTGGCTACAATTTGATGAGAGCCATCGATGGTCGTCTCCAACACATAACCTATATATGATAGCATGCTAAGGAACAGAAGAAATTCTGCAAAATTTTTGTAGGCCTCAAGCCAGTCTTTTAAGAGTTTGGAAGGCGGCTGACGAGCCCGGATCCATTGTCATCCCTTGAGGAAGTATTTGAAGTTGAGAGAGAAGAAAGCAGGCAGGAAGAGTCTGAAAGCCTCAACATTGGTAGTCTAAGCACCATAAATCAGTGAGTATATGTTAAGGAAACCTGGTATAGACCATGGTCTGACCCTTGTCATATATTTGGCACACTAAAGACAGATTCTGAAATATCATGGGAGGCTAGCAAATTCCGAGGAGAAACCACAAGCGGAGATGCATAAGTTCAGTAATCAATAGCTTAAAAATGGTGCTATAGCATACACGTGTGCGTGTGTCTGCTAGGCAGCAGCACTGTGCAAATAAAGTCCATAAGAAATGCTTCACAAATTGGTTGGCAATCAATTGCACTAGCCAACATAAGGCAATAATGCATCTATTCTGGTTGCTACCATATGTGATCCATCATTGGCTCTAAACTCAGAAAATTCACGACAGTAATGCTTGGCTGGTTGACTTGGAAGCTGCAGGCCACATAAATGGTCAATCTTCTGTCTGGAAGTGTTCACGTTTTAAGGTGGTATTGCTGTGACTCTTACTAACGGATCGGGGTTTAAAGCTAGTGGTTAAAGTGCACTCAAGTTATTTGAAACACTAGTCTTTCGAAATATGCTCCTGGTTTCTAATTTGACATGTAACTTGTTTATAAGATAATCCCGCTTATCTTAAATGTAAAAACTAGTTGGAATTTGTTTTAATTTTAAATGCAAGACATCAATTTATTTTGTATTTTAAATTTATAAATTTTTTTTAAAACTATCTCTATTGATTGCTCATACTAAATACTAGAGCTGTCAATAAGGACCAGCCCGGTCCTAAAAAGCTAGCCGTTAAAATGTCAGGGCTTAAAAGGGTTGGTCCTTTAAAGACAACATACCTTAAAATTATCTAATTATTAAAGTTCGGCCCTTGGACATAAGGGCTCAAAACTTAAAAAGGCTGGCCTTTTTATGTTATTTGTTAAAATTTAAATTTTTTTAAATTATTTTAAAATTAAAAATAAAATAACAAAACTTCTAAGATTTTTTATTCAAATTATAAATATATGTAAAACAAACTAATGGTGTATAGAAAAAAAATTAAATGCTAATAAACTATTGTCCAAAATAAAAAAAAACAAAATCTAACAAAACACGAAAAACAGAAACATAAAAACCTAATAGTTAAAGATTCACAATATTAACATCATTATTATCTTTATCTTCATCTTTATCAGTATCATTAAGATCAGCAATATTTGATTTTTCTTTGCTACAAGTGAGCTCTTCTTCAGTGATAAAAATATTAAGGTTTTTGTCTTCATTTATCTTATCTAAAATAAAACTATACAGTAGTTATAAGTACAAATAAGAGCCTGAACATTTATTTGAATAAGAAAAATTTTACACTTTGTTAAGATATGTAAATCGATGGTAAATGAAGATTTACTAACTATTGTGGTGATTAGAATGTTAAGAATATCAGCTACCATTCTTAAAAGAATTGAAAATTGATTTTAATTGTTCTTCCACAAGTCCAAGATATCTAATTCTTTTCAATTATTTGGCTTGAGTGTTGGTTCTTCTAAATATTTTTCTAATTTAAACTTATTTATAAAAGACTAATCCATAACTTTATAAATATATTAATAATAATAATAAAAAATAGGCGGGTTTAAAAGGGCTAGCCTTTAGCCCTAAAGAGTTGGCTTTTTTTATTTTTGAGCCTTATAGGGCTAGCCCTTTAAGTTCAATTTCTTTTTAAACCATTTAAAATACAAACTTGGCCCTCCACTTAAAAAAGCTGGCCCAATAGACTTGGCCCATTTGACGGCTCTACTAAATAGTGGCTTTCATAAATAGGAGTAGTTTCTTGTGCACATTATTAAGAAAAGGTATTTTAACAAAATTAATACAAATTTATTATCAATAATTAATTTAAATAATTTTCTTAAGCAGTTACATTTAGAATAAGAGGAAGTATCAATATATATCTACATTCTTGACATGAGCAAGCACCGCAACGTGGCATGATTGCATTTTTCGACGCTTCACTCTTATATCAAATGTAAATTTATAGCAAGTGGCATTACTTACAAACTGTTTCATTAAACTGTACATAATATTACTCCTCCAGTTCTTAATATAAGACCTATTTAACTAATTTGATTAGATTAAAAAAATTAGGTAAGTTAATTAATTATAAGAAAAGTGACATTTTTCTTAAAACACCATAATCATCTTTCTTAATACCTCATCTCCCTCTTCTACTAGATTATGGTTGAAGGAATATCCATAGGGGTAATTTAGAGAAAATTGATAAATATGAGAAATGGGTCTCATATTTAGGACCAAAACCAACTCAAGAATTGGGTTTTATATTAAGGACCGGAAGAGTATCTTTAATTCTAATTATAAGAGCTAGTTGACTAATTTGAAGAGATTAAGAAAAAAATTAAGCTAGTTATTTATAATAAGTATGTATTGTCTTTTCTAAAATATCCTTACTAATCAAGTGTATTAGATAGAATTATTATTATTAGAAGGACTACCTTAGGAAAAAATGTATAAATATGAGAGACAAAGTGGATTGAGATTTTATATTTAGAGCCAAAATAAAAGTCAAACAAAGTTTTATATTAAGGATCAGAAGTAGTACATGCGATTGAGCATAAAATCTCAGTTTATTATTTCAACTTGAAATTTTTATCTTTCCCCTCTTTGCTCTGGTGTTAATCCTCCTTGACCACAGGCGGGGCAGCTCTTTAGCCCAAATCCTTGGCAGTCATAACATCTACACCAAAGGTTTTTCACAAAGCCATTAAATAAATAAAATAAAATAAAATAAATAAAAATTTGGAAATTAAATGTTGCACGGCTAGGATTTATTCACAATGAATAAAAAGAAGAAGAACTCACTTCCATCGCTCAAATATATTACCATTCTTCCTATTCTTTCCCGTTCCCTGTCAATATTTACTTATGATTAGTATCACAAGAGAGAGAGAGAAAAGATGTAAAATCAATCACAAACAATTACCCAAACATAACTTTCTAGCCAACAAAAAAAAAATACAAGCACAATTTAAATATGTTCAATAAAAATATTCATAAAAATTACATATTTAGAAATATCATAAAAAATAAAAATTAAGACCAATTGCTATTTTTCTCTCCCTCTCTCTAAAAATTAAAATATGTCCTATAACTACTCAGATTTTAATAAAATATCATAATTTTTCTATTAAAAAAATAGGTCTTACCATGAATTTCCTAATTACATGACTTTCTAACCCTTTTTATATACTTCTTCTCTGATAATATTGGCTAATATAACTTTAGGCATTATTAAGAGATAACAAGTCTTCCTCGCCTAATTCAACCATTATTTGTAATATATATACATATATATATGTGTAGAGAGAGAGAGAGGGGGGGGGGCAGACCTTACATCCTGGGCACTCTATGGCACCTTGGCCTCCACAAGTTTGGCATCTTTTGAATATCTGCATGACCATTTCATGAAAATGAGAGTGAAAAAATGTAAATACATCAAGCCAGAAAATAATCTATCTTTTCACTATGAACGTAAAATGTGATAGTTGAAAATTTTAAAAAATAATATACCATTCGTCCAATTTAAATATAAATACTTTATGTTTATTACAAAAATGGCAATGTTTTGTTCACCCTATTAACAATTAACAGCTATAAGTACTTCTGTTTTATTACAGTAAAAAAATTCTAATCACAAACCTAGTCCTTTTCTTTTGCAATATTAGAACATTCAATTTTTTTTTTTTGAGTATTTTCCTTTAGCAATAAACATATATAAGTCATCTTTGGACTTTGGCACATAGCATGACTGACAGAAAAATATACCCTTTTTCGTTCTCTTTACACAATATTTATTTGATATTTATAATCATTATTTAATATTCAATAATCAATATATAGCATATCTATTATAGTCTGGTTAATACGTTTATTAATATCATCAATACCAATATATTACATATAATAAATTATAATATTTATAAATGATGAAAAATATGACTTGCCACCAACAAAGGTAGGCAATGAGGCAACTCTGAAGAGGGATATTGAGGATTTTGTTTCTTCATAAACTCACCAAAGACTGAGGTACTTAAAATTGGATTAGTCATTAAACCAATTAAGATGCTAGTTTGAGAACTAGTGACGTAACCATAGTTGAATTGAGGTTAACCCAATCATAATTGAAATAACATCAAATAAAAGTATTTATCCACAAGCAAATGGAACATTCATCCATAGATTATACATAATCCAACAAAACAAAATTACTAAAACATAAATATATACTCTTCCGGTCCTTAATATAGGACTCAATTCTTGAGTTGGTTTTGGTCCTAAATATAAGAGCCCTTTCTCATATTTATCAGTTTTCTCTAAATTACCCCTATGAATACTCCCTCAACCATAATCAAGTAAAAGAGGGAGAGGGGGTATTAAGAAAGATGATTATGGCGTTTTAGGAAAAATGTATCACTTTTCTTATAATTAACTAACTTACCTAACTTCCTTAATATAATCAAATTAGTTAAATGGGTCTTATATTAAGGACAGAAGGAGTATTTTTTTTTTACTCAAAACAATATTATTTCAAACTCAACAAGTGGAGAAAAACATTGTAAAAATCAAACTGATTAAGAAACCACTTTACCAATTCATTGGTTTGATTAACACAATTCTATTCTATTGGGCACTCATCTAAATTCTCTCTCAAAAACAAATAGGATTTGTTCTCTACTGTCATGTTCGGTCTAATTAATGATCATGTTGCTTCCATCAAGTTAATTAAAGATGTGCTCACGAAGGCTTAAGCATAATTAAGAACAACGCACCGAGTTCAGAGAGAAACCTCCAGATTTCGCAGCAAAAGCCGTGAAGAAGACGCGCTTGTGCGTGTGCGTTTTGGGTATGGTTGGTCCAATTGGAGCACCCAAGCTGTTGCAGTTAATACAGGCCATTCCTCTCTCTCTCTCTCTCTCCCCTGCGTGTTCTGCCGAAGCAAATGCTGAAACTAGCAGACGGGTGGATAATATGAAACCCAATATGTTTCTTCGCTTGTGGTGTGGATTTCACTTGGCCTGTCTTTTTTTTTTTTAGTTATTATTTCTTCCGTCCTTAATGTAAATTTTAATTTGATTAAACTAAAAAAATTAGGTAAATTAATTAGTTATAAAAATATAATATGTTTTTTCTAAAATAATATCTTCCCTTTCTCTCTTACTTGATTATGATTGACAAAATAACTTTAAAAAAATTGATAAATATGAAAAGTATTTTTTGTATTAAAAGTCAGATTTTTTTACTGAAGTCAGATTTTTGAGTTGAAAAGAAATTTTTTTAAAAAAAATTGCATCTTCTTGTTCTCCTCAAAGAATCAATGGGAAAAGAAGAATAAATGAAGAAGCTTCATCTTCACAAAACATTTAGTTAGTTCAATTGCTCAAAAAAAAAAAAAAACAAACAACCTCAACCATCCATTAAAAAAAAAAATCATTGTTCCTTCCAGATTGCAAAAGAAGGAAATTAAAAGAAGAGACGAATTCTGAAATCCTCACAAATAATACCCAAATTCAAAAATATAATAATAATTAGGTATATGAGATGGAACGTGGTCATGGGCATAAAATTATTTTAATTTTGAGGCCTCGTTGTTGGCACAGCACATTAAAGAACTTAGTACGAAAGCCGTGGCCATATCCATGACCATCAGGAGTTTCTAATACCCACAAAAAAAAAAAAAAGTTTTTAGTTCAAACTGGTCCTGAAGTCCTCCATCATCCTTTGATGAGCTGATTTTGTGGGACCAGGTTTTGGTGCTCATCAGGCTCCCGGCATTATTTATTGGGAAAATTACACTCAGGTCCCACAGAACACAATTAATATCAAAGAAGTCCCTGGAAATCGCAAAATGATTCTAAAGTCCCTAAGGACCTGTGTGTAATTAATTCTAATTGTGAAATTACTTAGTTACCCCTGTCAATTTTATTGCAGCAATTCATTTACAACTTCAACAGTGGCTGTTGACAACCCGAGAAGAAGTGATTGACAACCTTGACAGTGCTCCTGACAACTCACTCTGTGGGATGGCTGTTGACAACCCGAGAAGAAGTATTGACAACCTCGGCAGTGCTCCTGACAACTCACTTTGTGGGATGCCAGGGGCGTTGCTGAGGTTGTTAACCACCTGTTCTCGGGTTGTTAACAGCCACTGTTGAGGTTGTAAATAGGTTCAAATTAACAGGGGTAAGTAAGTAATTTCACAATTAGAATTAATTACACACAGGTCCCTAGGGACTTCAGAATCATTTCGTGATTTCCAGGGACTTCTTTGATATTAATTGTGTTCTGTGGGACCTGAGTGTAATTTTCCCTTATTTATTTGATCTCCACATTTAATACTTAAAAAAATCATTTTTTCAAAAAAAAATAATTAAAAGATTAGAATTATTTTGGGGAAATCACAAATAAAGACCCTTGAATTAGCAAAATCACTCTATGGTCACCTGAATATGCCAAATTACTATGAGAGACCAGGTCTCAAATTGTAATTATGAAATCATGGCCAAATTACCAAAATACCCCTCTTTAATTTTTTTTTTTAAAAGAAAGCCACTGCCTCACCGGAATCCGGCCACCGGCGCCGGAGCTCCGGCGCCGGCAGCCGCTTCCGGCGGTTTTCCTTTTTTTTTTTTTTTGAAACTGTTTTTTTTTTTAAATTGGGGGGAAGTGAGGTTGGGGGGATTTGATCCCCCAACCTAATGCTTCCCAAAATAAGGAATGACCATTGAGCCAACAAATTTTTGTTAACATTATGATGCAAAAAAAAATATAAGTTAACTCATTTACTCTTGTTCCAGGTGATAACAACAATACATTTGGAAATAACAAGTTCTGATTGTAAAATAACACGTCGGGAATAAAAATTTAACAATATGTTTTTTTTATAACAATAAATTTTGTTGCAGGCAATAACAACAATACATTTAAAAATAACAAGTTCTGATTATAAAATAACAAGTTTGGGATTAAAATTTAACAACACGTTTTTTTTTTATAACAACACACTTTATTTCAAGTGATAACAACAATACATTTAAAAATAACAAGTTCTGATTATAAGATAATAAGTTTGGGATTAAAATTTAACAACATGTTTTTTTTATAACAACACACTTTGTTTCAAGTGATAACAACAATACATTTGGAAATAACAAGTTCTGATTATAAAATAACAAGTCTGGAATTAAAATTCAACAGCACCTTTTTTTTATAACAATTAATTATTTTATACTTTTGGAAAATAAATTATTTATAACTTATAAAAGTACTTGTAATCTATTTAATTTTGGGAGAATCACAAATAAAGACCCTCGAATTAGCAAAATCACTCTATGGTCACCTGAATATGCCAAATTACCATGAGGGACCTGGTCTCAAATTGTAATTATGAAATCATGGCCAAATTACCAAAATATCCCTCTTTAATTTTTTTTTTTAAAAAAGAAAGCCACTGCCTCACCGGAATCCGGCCACCGGTGCCGGAGCTCCGGCGGCCGCTTCCGGCGGCCTTCCTTTGTTTTGTTTTTTTTGCAACTTTTTTTTTTTAAATAGTGGGGGAAGTGAGGTTGGGGGGATTTGATCCCCAACCTAATGCTTCCCAAAATAAGAAATGACCATTGAGCCAACAAATTTTTGTTAACATTATGATGCAAAAAAAAATATAAGTTAACTCATTTACTCTTGTTCCAGGTGATAACAACAATACATTTAAAAATAACAAGTTCTGATTATAAAATAATAAGTTTGGGATTAAATTTTAACAACACGTTTTTTTTATAACAAAACACTTTGTTTCAAGTGATAACAACAATACATTTAAAAATAACAAGTTTGGGATTAAAATTTAACAACACGTTTTTTTTTAATAACAAAACACTTTGTTTCAAGTGATAACAACAATACATTTAAAAATAACAAGTTCTGATTATAAAATAACAAGTTTGGGATTAAAATTTAACAACACGTTTTTTTTTATAACAACACACTTTGTTTCAAGTGATAACAACAATAAATTTAAAAATAACAAGTTCTGATTATAAGATAATAAGTCTGAGATTAAAATTTAACAACATATTTTTTATAATATAAAATTTATACTATGATTAATAGATTAAAAATGCCTTATTATAAATACTTTATAATTTATAAGAAGTAGTTTGATTTATAATGAGTTGTATAGATATACAGATTAAAAAGTATTTTTTAGAAAAATAAATATATTAAAAATATTTTTTATAAGTTATAAATAATTTATTTTTTAAAAGTATAAAATAATTAATTGTTATAAAAAAACGTGTTGCTAAATTTTAATCCCAGACTTATTATCTTATAATCAGAACTTGTTATTTTTAAATGTATTGTTGTTATCACTTGAAACAAAGTGTTTTGTTATAAAAAAAACTTGTTGTTAAATTTTAATCCCAAACTTGTTATTTTATAATCAGAACTTGTTATTTTTAAATGTATTATTGTTATCACTTGAAACAAAGTGTTTTGTTATAAAAAAAAAACGTGTTGTTAAATTTTAATCCTAAACTGTTATTTTATAATCAGAACTTGTTATTTTTAAATGTATTGTTGTTATCACTTGAAACAAAGTGTTTTGTTATAAAAAAAACGTGTTGTTAAAATTTAATCCCAAACTTGTTATTTTATAATCAGAACTTGTTATTTTTAAATGTATTATTGTTATCACCTGGAACAAGAGTAAATGAGTTAACTTATATTTTTTTTTGCATCATAATGTTAACAAAAATTTGTTGGCTCAATGGTCATTCCTTATTTTGGGAAGCATTAGGTTGGGGGATCAAATCCCCCCAACCTCACTTCCCTCAATATTTAAAAAAAAAAACAGTTACAAAAAAAAAAACAAATGAAGGCCACCGGAAGCGGCCGCGGGCGCCGGATTCCGGTGAGGTAGTGGCTTTCTTTTTTTAGAAAAAGAAATTAAAGAGGGGTATTTTGGTAATTAGCCATGATTTCATAATTACAATTTGAGACCGGGTCCCTCATGGTAATTTGGCATATTCAGGTGACCATAGAGTGATTTTGCTAATTCGAGGGTCTTTATTTGTGATTCCCCTTTAATTTTCTAAAAAAATAATTTTTATCTCCAATTTATAATCAGAACTTGAAGTATAATTTTTTATAGATTAAAAATACTTTTTTATTGTTCAAATTTATAAATGAAATTTAGGGAAAATGGCAACACACTTTTTTAATTTTTTTTAAAAAATTTTAATTTATATATCTATACAACTTATTATAAATCAAACTACTTCTTATAAATTATAAATAGTACAATTTATTGTGGATTAAAAGTACTTTTTGACTGCTTAAATTTATAAATGAAATTTATCTCTAATTTATAATTAAAAATACTATTTATTCTTTAAATATAAAAACTAATTTTAATATTTAAAGAATGAAATAATATAAAATTTATACTATGATTAATAAATCAAAAATGCCTTATTATAAATACTTTAATTTATAAGAAGTAGTTTGATTTATAATGAGTTGTATAGATATACAGATTAAAAAGTATTTTTTTAGAGAAATAAATATATTAAAAATATTTTTTATAAGTTATAAATAATTTTTTTTTAAAGTATAAAATAATTAATTGTTATAAAAAAACGTGTTGTTAAATTTTAATCCTAGACTTATTATCTTATAATCAGAACTTGTTATTTTTAAATGTATTGTTGTTATCACTTGAAACAAAGTGTATTGTTATAAAAAAACGTGTTATTAAATTTTAATCCCAAACTTGTTATTTTATAATCAGAACTTGTTATTTTTAAATGTATTGTTGTTATTACCTGCAACAAAATTTATTGTTATAAAAAAACATATTGTTAAATTTTTATTCCAAACGTGTTATTTTACAATCAGAACTTGTTATTTCCAAATGTATTGTTGTTATCACCTGGAACAAGAGTAAATAAGTTAACTTATATTTTTTTTTACATCATAATGTTAACAAAAATTTGTTGGCTTAATGGTCATTCCTTATTTTGGGAAGCATTAGGTTGGGGGATCAAATCCCCCCAACCTCACTTCCCCCCAATTTAAAAAAAAAAAACAGTTTCAAAAAAAAAAACAAAAGAAGACCGCCGGAAGCGGCCGCCGGCGCCGGAGCTCCGGCGGCCGGACCCTGGCGTCCGGCCGCCGACAGTGGCCGGAAGCGGCCGCCGGAGCTCCGGCGCCGGTGGCTGGATTCCGGTGAGGCAGTGGCTTTCTTTTAAAAAAAAAAAATTAAAGAGGGGTATTTTAGTAATTTGGCCATGATTTCATAATTACAATTTGAGACCGGGTCCCTCATAGTAATTTAGCATATTCAGGTGACCATAGAGTGATTTTGCTAATTCAAGGGTCTTTATTTGTGATTTCCCCAATTATTTTTAAAAATAAAATAAAAAGAAATTAAATCAGTACTGTTCACATTAAATCTGGATTTGTGTGGGTCTGGGTCCAGCTTTTTGCAGAATTTATAGCGGTCTTGAATTGTCTCAACTCGTTTTAGTCAAATTTTCAATCAAATTCGAGCCTCTTATTGAAACTAAGGCAAAAGGAATTAACTTTGCGGACGTACGTTGGTGAAAATACAACATAAGATGAAATCAAAGGTAGAAGAGAAAGTAGTTCACAGAAAAGCCGATCGAGGAATGGAAAGAGATTAGAACTGAAGAAGCATTACAACGAAACAGCAACATAGAAGACACATCTTAACAACCCAATTTAAACACAACATTCATCTAATCTAGTGAACCCTAATCATCAGAAACTTCAACACAACACAGAAAGACACCCTATCACAACTGACAAATTAAAACAAACACATTCATAATTCTCCACATCACGGAGACACGTACGTGCATGCCTCCTGGAACTAGCAGGGAAAAGCCAGAAACAAGCCAATGCAAACATTTATCACCATCCATGGCCAGAAAAACTGCATCTCCTGCCCTGGAAACAAACAATCGGCACACCTGGGAAGCATCGAAGTCCACGCCACGAACACCACCGCCGACATTGTCGCACGAACAAAGTCCGACAGCCTTTTCGGTGCGAGGAAGCCGATGTAAACGAGGCGGTCGGGAGCGACAAATCTGATGGTGAAGTGGAAGAAGAAGCAGCAGAGGGCACAGAGGCCGAAGAAGAGGTTGATCATTAAGCACCGGACGCCGGGGCAGTAGCGACAGGCCCATATGGTGATAATGGCAAGCAGCATCTTGAAGATAAAGAAGGCCTGCCATGGGAGGAAGTAATCGAGCATTTTAAGATTGATGAAGGTCTTATCGATCACTTCCTCTACGAAGGCAACTGGTCTCTCACCACCTTTTGCCGGAGGCTCACCGTAAGTGCCGGGGGTTGCTTCTTTTGGCGGAGGAGGGCTCACTGGAAGTTCCATATGGGCTCACCGGAGAGGGAGATTGAAGTGGAAAAGTCTGGAAGTGTGGTGGATGGAGAAATGAAGGGAGAGGAATATATTAATGGGAAAATGGAGATGAACAATGTTTTCCCAATTTACTTCTTCTTCTCTGTTCGTCTGCTAGCTTGTTTCTGGTAACAATATTAATGGCCTTGTAATCGACCCGTGAGAGTGCCAGAGCGGTGAAGCTGTGAAATTGAATTATACTCCTCTCTTAAATTATACTCTTTTGTTAAATATTAAATTTCATTAATTCTTATTTAAAATTTAATTTTTTAATTTTATTTATATTTAATATGTATTATACCTATGGCTTATGTAAATAAAGTCAATACAATAATAAATGAAGAGTAAAATTATATATTCATACAAAAAATTTTCAGTACCTTATAAATAGAACTAAAACAAATTTTTGTCTCTCTACCCTATAAATAAAATTGATTCACTTCTCCTTATTAATGCGTTTTTCCTTTTGTAACAATCTACTTTATTTTTTGTTGGTCATAATTACCCTATTTCATATATTTATTAATTTTTTTAAAATTAATCTTAATGATATTCTTTAATAATAATCAAGTAAAGAGGGGGAGAGAGTTAAGAAATATGCTTAAAATTTTTAGAAAAAACATATCATATTAACTATTTAATAACATCTTTAATATACTCAAATTAATAAATTAGATCTTTTATTAGGACTAGAAGAGTATAATTTCATGAATTGTTTGATGTGAAAATACTGTTTAATCCTCTTTTAATTATTACTATTTTCTTCTAAAAATTAGATTACACTGATTAACATGTGAAAAATTACAATATGAGAAATAAGGGCTTGTTTGTTTTTTTTTTTATTTTCTTATTCTTGAACATTTTATAAAATTTTTTAGAACAAGTTTTGAAAACAAAAAACAAAAAAAATTGTTTGGATAATAATTTTAAAAAAAAACATGTTTGAAAAAAACCCCATATAAAATCATACTTGATAGATGATAGTTGTCGTTGATAATAATAAGTGGTGAATAGTAGATAGAGAAATTTTTTTTTCAAAACTTTTCAAAACAAAATAAATACACAAAAACAAAATAGAAAAACATGTAAAATTTGTTTTGGTTTTTTGGTTTTTAAAAACATATTACTGTTTTTTGTTTTTTAAAACAATCAACTAAAAACAACTTACTAAATAAGTTTTTTTTATTTTTTTTTTTTAAAAATAAAAAATTGTTTTTAAAACAAGAACCAAATAAATCTTAAGTAAATAAATAAAGCTATTCATGAAAATTGTAAAGTAACCGCTTTGTTAAGCAAAAATAAAAGTACTTCTACAGTTAGTGCTTCAGCTAAAATTTGGTAGGACCTGCAAGTTTACTGGATAGGAGTAGAAATAATGGGAGGTTTAATTACTTGATATGACCCGCAAGTTTACTCAAATATATTAGAAAAATATATATCCTCGCATCCAAGCATCTTCATTAATATATTAACTACTTTTATTTTTATAATTTTAAATTGTAATATTTCTCTTAAAATTAAGTATTTATATATACATACCCACACACACAAATATATTATTCAATAAAATAATACATATATTAATAGGGAAATGAAGAAATAAAGAGAGAGGAAGCATGAGATTATATGCTAATGGGGAAATATAATGAACAATTATTTCCATTTTTCTTCTTCGTCTGTGTTCGTCTGCTAGCTCGTTTCTGGTAACAATATTAATGTCTTTAAAATCGACCCGTGAGAGTGCCAGAGTGGTGAAACTGTGAAAGTGAATCAAAGCTAAAATTGTTAGCAAGAGGTTCGCATCTCTTACTAACGCGTTTTCCTGTTAGATTGTTACGGCTACAGCACATAACATTCTAATTTATTTACTTATTTATTTTTGCTCTGCACTTGCGTCCTTCTATAAGAGATAATTTCGTTGAGACACTGCTACATACTCTGTCCGCCTTTTTTTATAAGAAATATTAGAACTTATCACGTAGATTAAAATATTAGTTAAAATTAGTTAAAGACAATAAACATATAGAAATTATAAATTTTTTCACTAAAACACCCTTATTTATAAAAAAAAGAGAGAATAAAAAAATTATTATAATAAAAAAAATTGTGGAAGAGAGAGAATGGGATCAGGATCTTCTCAGCAGCTTAAATTCTCAGCGTCCCTCAGGGGCATGAATTTTAGCCGTCCAGATCAATCTTATATCTCACAGGCTGCCACTTCAACATCCTTTTAAAACAAAAAATTAAAGAGTAACTCTGACTAAAAAAATATCTTTTGTATGATTTCCTTCGCCCACCTCATTTCAACTGGAAGATTTAAATTATAAGACTTGAATTTACTCAAATATCAAGTCTTGCGAAGTCCTCGTTGAAATTGCAAGTTATCCCGTTCACAGGCATTCCCCAACAAAAGCATGTTAACCGCTAAAGTTAGCCAACAATTGACAGGAATGCAACAGCAAAAAACAAATCATATGAACTTATTAGGAGCATAATTGCAAAATTCAGTCATACTAAATATTTGCAAGGACTTGAGAAAGACGTGCTAAGCTCACTGCGTTGCGGTAATTCGGCTGTGTTTATCACACACATTTCAAACTCTTCGCATTTATACCCGTTTCACGTCGAACCTTGCCCAATTTTGCTAATACTATGGTCAAAATACGAGTTCGGCTCTCCCAGAAAGACATCAAAAACAAACTTCGGCCAGAGGTTGGGACGCGATGGAACAAAGTACAGCTTCAAGGATTGGGGAAGGGGGGAGGGGGGATCGCATCAGCCTACCACTCCCGATATCACAGCAAGACAATACGGAAACAATTTCAACCCCTTAACAGTATTTTATCATGTTTGTCACTTTCATGCCTCTATCATCAATACATGAATCTTAGTACCTGGATCTCTTGGAGTAATCTCTATAACTCTCCCGCTCATACCTCCCATTTCCCCCATCTTTGTCTTCCCTATCCTGCTTATCATCCCTTCGGTGCCTCCTCTCTCCACGGTCATCCTCATGCCTCCGGTGCCCCCTTCCTTCTCGGTCATCCTCATCCCTTCGGTGCCTCCATTCTTCTCGATCCTCCCCATCCCTTCTGCGCTTCCTTTCTTCACGATCATCCCCAACCCTTCTGCGCTTCCTTTCTCCACTATTATCCTCATCCCTTCTGTGCTTTCTTTCTCCACTAATATCATCCCCATCCTTTACGTGCCTCCTTTCTCCAACATCATCATCATCCCTCCGAAGCTTTCTTTCTCCACGATCATACTCATCCCTTCTGTACTTCCTTTCACCATGATCATCATCATCCCTCATGTATTTTCTCGTTCCCCGATCATCTTCATTCCTTGTGTGGCTTCTTTCCCCTGAATCGTCATCATTCTGTTCATGCCTTCTTAGTTTTTGATCCTCACCATTTTGACCATTCCGCCCTCTAAAACGGGAGTCAATGTCCCTCCCATCCCGTCTGCCTCTATGCTCAACAGTCTCACCATCACACCCTCTAAGCCTACTTGATCTTGAGTAATCATATCTTTCATCTTTGCAACTAACCATTTTAGATTTTGATTCAGACTCAGTCCTGCCTGACTTTCCATGACCCTCATGCTTTGCATCTATACTTGCCGAATTCCATGGTCTCAAACCAGACTCCCCACCTCTGTCCCCACCAAGCTTGGTCCTGCCTCCCATCGTTTCTTGACTTCCACTATTCAATCCCTCCACAAAATTTCCCTCCTCTTTATTACTGTATGATTTTCTCAATGAGTTCAAGCCATCGGCATTTTTGCCACCTCTTCCTTTCCCCTCAGAACCATCAGCATCAAATCTGATTTTTTCCTCTTCCACATCATACCGTTTAACACTCTTTCGAGAACTTTCATATGCTTCCTTACTATGCCCACTTCGTTTTCTTGAAGGAATTTCTCTTTTTCTGGCACTCTTGTATCTGTTATCAGCAGAATCACTGTCTGATTCACTGCCACTATCGCTGTAACTGTCACTCACGTCAGTAGAAGAGTATGATCCCTTAGCAGAGTCATCATCATCATCAGAATCATGCCTTTTCTTTCTCTGCTTCTCCTTTCCATGTCCACTTTTTTTCTCCTCCTTCAACATATCATCATCGTCAGAATCATGTCTCCTATAAGCTTTTTTAAATTTCTCCTTTCTTTTACTTCCATAATCACTACTGTCAGAATCAGAACCAGAATCAGAAACAGGATCTGAATCATCACTTTTCCTACCCTTGCCTCTCCTGTGCTGATTAGATATCTTTGAAACCTTGGCCATCTTAGCATCACTATCAGAATCATATTCATCATCACTCTCCCTCTTTTCTTTGTGATGCCTCTTTCTACCACTCTTCTCCACTTCCCTACTGCTATCTGAATCAGATGAATCATCCTCTGGCTTTCTCTTTTGAATGTGACCCTTTTTGCGCCTTGAGTCTTTGATGCCCTTCTTGTCATCATTTTCAACGTCTTGACCTTCAATCATTTGTTTCTTCCCAGTGAAATCTCTGTCCAAAAAAGCATGTTCACGTTTCAAATTATACTTGACATCCTCATCAAGACCACCTTTTTGACCAGTTCTTGGAGCATCATCATTTCCTTCTACATTCATTTCACTGACTTCAGATGAAGCTATGCCAAGTGCAGCTTTCAAAGTTTCCATTTGCTTTTCTTTTCTAGCAGCAATTTGGTGAGTCTGTGTGTCGGAAACCCTGGCAACCAAACAAAGTCAAGGCTGAGAGCACCAAACATAATATATTAGGCAATACATCAAGTTATTCACTTCTACTTATCATGGACCCCAACTTAAAAAGTTAAAGCAATCATTCAAACTCTCTCAATAAACCTCTAAAGCCATCAAGAAATATTAACAGTCAAGACCCTGCATGAGTATTGTACATAGGGCTAAGAGCCATACAAATACCTTATGGGCACCAAAAATAAAACTTGGCCATCCACCAGTTAACTTAAAAGCCAGAAGCATCTCACGTAGATAACATAAGCAAGCAGGAAAAATCCATTATATTTTCAACTAACAACAAAAAGCTGAATTGAGGCACTTGATTATAGAGGCCAATGAAAATCCAAAAAATATTTCATAATCACTTGGCCAGGAAAAAGAAAATAACTGTTTCAAAAACATAATATGAGTAAACCCTAATAATAAGACAAATTACTTTTTCTCTGCCATTGATAAAGGCATAGGTCCATCACTTTCCTCAGCAGCTGCCTCCAATTCCAATTTCTTCCTAGCCTCATCCAGTTTCTCAGCAATCTCAGCATCACTGTAACCTTGATCAATAAGTTTATCTTCAAGGATCACCAGCTTCAGCGGAATCTGACGTTTACGGTCATGCTCAAGGATCTCTCTGTTAGGCTTCCTAGTAACACCAGCGGTACCCTGATCTGCCTCATACCCTCGGGTGTTTTCAGCAACCTTGCTAATCTTGGGCTTGACAAAGAACTTGTTGCTCTGGATGTATCCATTTGTACCAGATCCCCTAGGGGTCTGTAACCCTATTCCGTTGTACATATTGGTTCCTAGAGTAAAACTACAATTAAAAAGAATTTAAAAAACGGTAAGAAACTCTAATTTTCAAAGCAACTAAACATCTGAAAGCATTGAAGGACCTATATGAGATGCTCCCACTGGAATCTTTAACATATGCATACTTGATATAATGCCCTTTTAATTTTCGTTCCAGATGCTTTGGCGAAGATGCCGTAGTCAGCCAATTGATTCAGGCACCTCCTCCAAGCTATTGAAGAATGAAAATTTAAACTCAAGCTTCTAAATTGCGACACACAACTAGCCGTGTCGTTTAAAAGACCATGCATTACAAATACCTTGAGAATTTTCTAAATTGATGATAATCTAAAGAGGTTAATAAACAGAATCCCAACACAACAAATCCAACATTACGAAACAAAACAATCCAAAGCATATAAGTTGCTAGTAATCAAAATGAAGAGGGCAGCAGTACAATAGCCGATTACACACAACCGAAGCAAAAACTAGTTATCAAACTTTTATTTTAAAAAAAAATTAAACTCAATCTTTATTCAAAAGCGTCAACATTTTAAACAATTACACGACCAGATTCAAAGCCAAATTAAAATGAAGAAGGTAAAACAAAGCAAGAAACTGTGCTAGGTCGTCCGACAAGTGTTGGCAACCACGCAGGTAACAAATTCCAATCTAGATTCAAAGCCGGTTTGAACAAATCAAACTTAATAATTTTGGGAGTAGACAAAGCCTAGAGTTCAAACCTTCTTCAATACTTGCAAGAGAACAACCACGCAGGGCCGAAAACGGTGGCCGGCTTCCCACGGCGAGATTGACCGGGGGGGGGATGTTTGTTCGTCGACGAAGAAAAGTGATCCTCAAACGCAAACTTCTTCCAAACCATGGTTTGGATAGAAACCAAACCATGGTTTCAGAAGTGCTTTTACAGATTACGAAGTAAATATGTGGAGGAGGTTATCTCGTTTGCGGAAAAGTGCTTCTGAAACCTAGGTTTTGGTTTGCCAAACACCCCCAAGTCGAGACTGGTTTATTTTAGGGTGTTTGGTACGTTTCAGGAAGGGGATACGAGAGGTTTTAGGCTTTCAGCTGCTTGGTTTTGTTGGCGGTGAGGTTTCCAAATAATTCCTTGATTCCTTGATTGGCTCATGAGAGAATGAAAAGTAAAAACATATTTACTATTATATCCTTTTTCTTGCAGCGATTTACTATTATATCCTCACAAGATGTTTTTTTTCCAGCTTTGTGTAAAGTAATTCTATTAATTCAAATTATATAATTTATACAAATTCATTTACATATCGATATATTGTTAATATAAAAATTCATTTACCTTGTACAGGTGTTACTGTACATGTACAATGAAAATAATTTTTTACTGTAGTTGGCAAAATTTATTTGGAGAAATCTACAGTAACAACAATTTTTTAAAATATATTTAATTGAAGTTGCCTAGCCTCCTGCATGCAGGAACAGTATCGTTTTGGTAGTTTATCTAAAGAAAAATCGCGCTCAGATCATAAAATTGAATTAAATTAAATTAAATTTTATTTTTTTAAAAAAATAGGTTACAAATGTCAAGACACACAATTACAATTATTTATTCCTTAGTTGCAAATTAGGGATTTAATTCTTATGGTTCAATTTCAATTATTTGCAACTAAAATTCTCATATATAAAATTATTTAAATGAACATTTGCAATTTATTTTTCAACAAAAAAATTTTATAACCTAATTACATATTGAATTTTTGAGATTTAATTGTCATTCATCCTGAATTTAAAAATAGTCATACTCTTTGTTTTCCTTAATTACATCAGACGGCATATATTTAAATTTACATATCAATATTTAAATTTTTTTTGAACACTTTTGTAGAAAATAACTTAAATTAAAAAAAATATTTTTATGCGTAAAAGAGTAGAAATTTTTGAATCCCAGTCCTATAGTCCAACTCTCCATTTTAACTATACAAATTAATACCATCATCATGCGCTATGTGTTGCATACCTGAATGGACAGTATTTTTTTTTTCTTACCGGCCAGAGTTGCATGGACAATCGGAATTGCCAACCGTTTCTTCTTATGAAGTTTCTCAAGGGAAAAGATTTTGGTCTGCAAGTTCACTCAGAGTAATTCAGAACTACTACCTCCAATCTTAATTATAAGAGCTAGTTGATTAATTTGAGAAGATTAAATAAGTAAGTTAAATTAGTTATTTATAATAAATAGGTGTTGTTTTTCTTAAAATATCCTTACTAATCAAATATATTGACAAGAACTACCATTATTAGAAAGACTATCTTGGAAAAAAATATATAAATACGAGAAACGAAGTGAATTAGGATATTATAATTAGGATTAAAATAAAAGTCAAACGAGGTTTTATATTAATGACCGAAGGTAGTATTATCCAATTTTACTCAGAGAGAGAAAGAAGAGAGAAAAGTAAGAACAATTTGTAAATACTATCTTTGGTCTTAAATATAAAAGTTAGTTAAAGAACCAACACATATGACCTCAATTCATTGTATCTTCCAATTTTATAACGTGTTCTAAAAAAAATCTCTATTGATTGTAAAGTATTTTTATCAAGGAACAAAAAACCAAGTCGAATACTAAACAAGTTAAGATAATGGTTCAAGGACAATGGGTCAAATGGGGTCAATTCTGGATCAAATCGAGCATATTAAAATAATATAATTTAATTAAAAATAACGAAATAATGATTGATGTTAAAACCATCATTGAAATTCATTAAAATCTATAGTGACCGAGAGATATTAGGAGTTGAATAAAAAAAATAGAACTAATAACAACATAATCATCCAAACCAATTTATTACCAATTCACCTCGATTTTCACCAGTTCACCTCGATTTGATTGGGTTGATGTCAGTTCAATTTCTAGCTAGTCCAGTACTCAAACTAGACTAGAAGGGTGTTTGGGTAAGAACAAAACCATAGTTTCAGAAGTACTTTTACGGTATATGAAGTAAATATGTAGAGGAGTTTGTCTCGATTTATGCAAAAGTGCTTATGAAAAGCACTTCTAGAGTTAGCCAAACACCCCCTAGACCATTGGTTGTTTCAACGGTCAGTGGTCCGATTTGATTTTTTTTGCCCTACGATTTTCATCCAAATATAGTTTCAATATATATGATTGAATAAGAATAATTTAAAAAAAATCAACACATACTTGTTACAATATAACTAACTTAACTAATTTTTTTAATCCCCTAAATTAGTTATCTACCTATTATATTAAGAATCGGAGGCAATGTGCGGGTGTATATATATAAAAAGAGAGAAAATTTCAACAATAGTACAACTTGAAAAAATTTATCAATTCAAGACATATTTAACGACTTCATTTTCATTTCTTGACACGTGAAAATCATTCGAAGGGATTATAAGTACCAGAGTGGCAAGCATATTAACCAAAATTTAATCGCAAAACACAATAGGTGTTACTGTAAGTGCATCGCCATCACAAATGAATCAGACACCCCTCCCTATTCAACTTCGTAGAGCTGGATTAGACGAACAATAGCACCGACGAAGAATAGTAGCAATGTTTTATACTATTTTGGAAGAACTAATTTAACTTTTAATTTAATCTTAAATATAAGATTCCAAACCAATTTATCTTTCATATTTATCGGTGTTTTCCAAAGTAATCTGTATATCAGTTGCACATGCTAAAGTCTTATCAAATGGTAGTTTTGACTAATACACATGATTAGTGATTAGCAAGGGTATTTTAGAAAAGACAACACTTATTTATTATAAATAACTAACTTAACTAATTTCTTTAATATTTTTAAATTAGTCAATTAACTCTTATATTAAATACCAGAGATAGTATATTAAAAGAGTTTGGATTGGATGAACCCTCAAGGAGAATAAGATCCTAACTAATTTACACACCAATCGATCTGGAACACAAGAACAACGAATAGCTGTTGAGATCAACTTTGAAGTCTGAACTATAGTTTCTCTAAACTTTGAAGTCTGAACTATTGACAGTGCTAAAATCATTGGGATTAATCAACTATAATTTCATTAACCTCCGCCATCAACTCACCAATAATCACTGCATGAACAAGCTCCGTCCCTAAAGTGGTGAAACCTACGAATATCTCGCATGATGATTTCTCTACTCATGAGCTTAGAAACCATTTTCATTACTGTATGACAATCCCCACACACACGAAGATTCTTCGTTATTCTGATTGTGGTCGATGGATCAGTATTAATAAGAGCAAAGGCAAGCGCCAACCTCTCGCTATGGTCCCAAAGCATCTTCTCCTTTACTTCTTCCTCAACATCATGGAGAACTGAATCTGTGTCAGGCTTGTAACCAACATTCTTAAGTTGCCCATTCAAGTCCTTTAATTTGGTATAAATATCTTCTGATTGTTGGTGGGATTTATCTCCAGCAAAAAATTGATGAACCATGTTATTTAGCTCGACCAAACTGTAACCAGGCGGTTTACTTAATCTCTTTCTTCTCACCAGTGTCCTCACTTTTTCAACATCACTCCATCTTCTCTCAGCAGCATATATGTTGGAAAGGCAAACATAACTGCTTACTCCTTTTGGGTTCATTTCAAAAAGCTTATGAGCTGAGATTTCGGCTAACTTCACATTGTGGTATAATCTGCAAGCAGACAAGAGGGAATTCCATATATCATAATTAGGTTTCACTTTCATATCATTTATGATTGCATATGCCTCATCTAAGTTCCCTGCTCTCCCTAGAAGATCCACCAAACAAGCATAATGAGTTGCTTTAGGTTCTACATTGTACTCCCTCATCATTTTGTAGAAAATTTCTTTACCTTCATCAACTAATCCAGAATGACTACATGCTGATAAAACGGAAGTAAACATGCCTTCGTCTGGAATAATATTTTTTCCCAGCATCTCATAAAACATGGAGATGGCCTCTTTTCCCCTCCCATGAATCCCAAATCCTGTAACAATAACAGTCCAAGAAGCCAGATTTCTTTCAGGCATCTCATCAAAAGCACGACGTGCACTAGGCAAACTTCCACATTTAGTGTACATGTCAAGAAGAGCAGTACCGACTGCAGTATTTGCACCAAAACCATTTTTAACAATATATGAGTGAATAGACGATCCCAATTGCAATGCCGAGAGTTGATTACAAGCACCAAGCATAGAAATAACAGTTGCTTCATCGGGAACTTCATTTTCCATAATCATTTGACAGAAAAGTTGCAGGGTTTCAAAAACATCTCCATGTCGTTCATAACCTGAAATCAAAGAATTCCATGATATAATATCCTTCATTTTTAATTTTTCAAATAACTTCCTTGCATCAGATATTGAATCACAATTGCTGTACATGTCAATTAGGGAATTCGTTAGAAACTTGCTGCATAGTTTACCACTATTCCGAACAACATAACCATGAATAGCCTTTCCCACTTTTAAATTCGTAAGATCACCACAGCCACTAAGGAGAGCAAGTAAAGTTGTTTCATCTCCACGAAATCCAGCATTTTTCATGTGATCAAATATTATAAACGCATCTCTTGCTTTTCCATTCTTCACATAACCTGATATCATAGTGTTCCAAGATGTTAAATCCCTTACAGGCATATTATCAAACAGCATTCTTGCCGTTGCCACATACCCAAATTTGGAATACATTGAAAGCAGAGAATTCCCTACATAAATATCAGATGCCAAGCCTGTAATCAGCACCAATGCATGAATTTTTCTGCCGATTTCATTGAGCAGCAGATCACCGCACGCTTTGAGAACATATGGGTAGGTAAAATTATCTGGCTTTCGTCCAACACTGATCATTTGACGATACAGAACAAGAGACCTCAAGGTATTCCCATTACAGGAATAACCTCTAATCATGAAATTCCATAAAAAAGAACTCTTAAAGACAATTTGGTCGAATATTACCTGAGCTTCAGCCATGCGACCGCAGCCAGCGTAGCAGGCAGCGATCTTGGTATTCAGATAGGTGTTGTGTACCAGAGTACCGCAAGTGATCATGTGGGCATGAAGTTGCAGGCACTTTCCGTAGGATTTGGTATTGGTGAGTGACTGCAACACGGTTCCGCATTGTAAAGAGGTGAGCGGGCAGATAAGACCTTGTTCTGTCAAGCGAGTGACGGTGGTGTATGAAGATTTGAGAAGAAGGGCTTTATCGCTACACCATTTAAGCATGAGAGAGAAGGTTCCATTCATGAAGGAGAAGCACAGCGCCAGCACAAAGGCAAAGTATATTACTATTTAGTAGAGCAGAGTCCGCATTACCTGCGCATCGCATTTATAAGCACATAAAGCTCATCACCCAAAAACGTATCGTATGGATTAGTGGAAGAATCAAGGCCGTTCAATCCTCCATATTTCAACACACTGAGATCGACAAGTACAGGGGGTGGGTTTCCACATTCCATTCATCAAGTTTTCCGGCATCTTCGAACCTGCAAAAGAATAACTGGGAGGATGAACAAACAGAACAACATGACAGAGGAAGAAGAGGGAATCGAAAAGAATAACAAAGGAGGAGGAAGGAAGAGAACCAGTGCTTAATCTCATTCTAAACAAATGCAGGAACTGAATCATGTAAAGATGAAATATATGGACAAATAGTTGAACTACGTATCTTTGAAGAACCAAAATATCCATGTCATCTATAAATAACCTTAATTAAGAGAATCTGACTTTTATCCAGCTGTTATCAGACATCGCACCAACGCTCCTATGAATACAACATTCAATAATTTTTGGTTCATAGCATAGTTCAAGATCTTACACAAAGTCACTTTCCTGAGATAGAGTCAGGGATGTAGATGCTTTCTTTAACTTGCAACTTATGGTTTTCTTCTTTCCACCCTCAATAACTATGAGAATTATTAGAAAATTTAAAGATAAAACAGCAACAATATTAAAGCAGAGAAGGTAATGAAACATGGCTGAAGGATTTTGATGCTGTAATTACTCAATAGGTTAGCAAAAGACTAAAAATTTGGTGACGCATTATCTCCTAATGATCATTCCATTACCCAGAGCAGGACTACAGGGAAAAGAGGAAGAAGAATTCATCTGGGGCCAAACGTTGATCACCTGAGGCGACGGGAATCAATCACTGGAGCTCGATTGCCGTTCCTATCTCTTCCCTTCCGGCGTTGCGTGTCTCTGTTGCGCTTGAGGCAAAAATCACTGGAGCTCGATAGCCGCGAGTCTCCGACCTGTGCATCGGGCATCAGCCACCGGAGCCCGAACACTGTTTCCACCTCCCTCTTCTCCGTCGCGGGTCTCGTCGTCAGATTGAAGCAAAAATCCATAAATCCCCGTTAAATTTGACGGCCATGATCAGTTTATAGTTAACGGTTCAGATTGCGCCTCTTAAATTTGAACGACATCGTTTTAGGTGATGAGCACATGGCGCCCCTCCATGTTCCTTCCGATGGTAACTGGTAAGGAATGTGGACTCCATTCCGCGAAGTCAAATTTTGGTCAGATGATCTTGCCTTGACTGCGTTATAGTTTGATGCAAGACAGCGAAGGTGATGAATCGTAAACTTGGTTAGCTAGGGTTTGAATTCCAAACCTAATTATGCAATCATGTCGAAATCAGACGCTCCAAAACCCAATTCCGCCAAAGTTCACCCCTCTAATGAGCCCGAGTTTGATCCCAATTCCTACGCCATGGAGAAGTTCCGGCTCTACGAAACCAGAGCGGTAAGTGATGAATTCTGTATGGCTGCATAGAAAATGCTGGAACTGCAATATTAGATGACATAACAAATGGTTTAATTCTGAGGAGCATTTTATTTCCAAATGTGTCGTTTTTCAATCATTGCTCAAGCAAATGTTCTTTAGCTGGTAGAGTTGTGAACTCTTCATTTTTGCTTTCTGGATGTTCATTTCGGGCACCAACGGTTTATGATAATGGGTTCTCAAAGCAGAGATTTTATTTAATCGGAAGTGACCGTAACAAGAGGTTTTTTCGAGTCTTGAAAATTGATCGATCAGAGCCCTCCGACCTCAGTATTAGTGAAGACCCTGTGGTATATACCCCTCAGGAAATCAAGAACCTTCTTCAGCGAATCGCAGAAGGCAATAGGGCCACCGGCGGCCTGACATTTGTGACAAAGGTTTATGGGATTGCAGGTCAGTATCTGCATCAAGTGGTTCTTGATATTATGATTTTATGGGCTTTGGGGACTAAGTGGTTTTATTTGTTGTCTTTAGGCTGCATCAAGTTTCTGGAATCATATTATTTGATTCTGGTTACCAAGCGCAGACAAATAGGTTGTATATGTGGTCACGAAATATATAGCATAGAGGAGAGCCAATTGATACCAATACCACATGCCTCAATGCAATCTGATATCGCTCACTCTAGAACTGAGCTAAGGTAATGTTTTTTGCCCCTTGTATCATTTGTCTTTCACTGTGTTGATAATTGTTCATAAACAGTATTTTCGTAAACAAACCTAGAGAAATTCCTTTGTTGGGTTCCTTTTTGGTTGTTATCAAATGATTTCTTTAGTCGCAAGATTAAGCAAGATAATACATGCTGGATGTAAATGACGTGCCTTGTACTTGTTGGCTTCAAGGTTCTTGTATTCTAAATTTATTAGTGTTATAGTCGTGGCAAATTTTTGCATATGTTTGTTGGTCATACTGCTCAATAACACATCTAATTTAAAGTTTGAAGTCCCTGGTAATATTCATTGTTTCTGTGTTTTATTGCAATAATTATATTAACACTGATTGCGAACTGCTGTAATTTTGACCTACTAGGCTAATCATTTTTGTTTTGCTGTTTAGCTCTAGGAATTTATAGTGACTTGTGCATGTTTCTTAAGCCGTTTCTGATGCAAAATGACTGATGGAGGATGTATTAAAATAAGGTCATTGTTGTTGGATCTAGGGACTGGGTTCCAAACTATGCTTTATTTTTATTTGTGTTAGCATGGCATCTTTTTTTTGGAGCGAATGTGTAAATTGCGAGGATTGATTTCTGCTCTTGCCCTGTGGAACGGACTTGTGTTCTTGGTATTTATATAGAGAGGAAGGCCCGTATTATCTTAATTGACTTTTATTGTGTTATTTGTTTTGGACCAGGAGTCTAGAATTGTATTTTTGGCTTCCCTTTGGTGTTTGGTTGATGGTCTCTTTAGATTGGTGTTTCTTTTGACTTTGACTAAAGAGTCTGGGCTCCTCTCCACAGGAAAAGATCTGATCCTCCCTTTTATTGCTTTTTTATTTTAATAAAATAAAATATTTTTCTCCAAGAAATTTGAAAACAGGGAGGAGCATATATTTTGTGGCACAAGTGGCAGCCACCTTATTGAATCTAATTAACTGCAATGCGTGTTGTAGCTAACTTGTGAAGGAAAGTAATGTAAATTGACACGTGTTGAATTAAAGGTTATGTTGAAGAAACTTTAAGCCTTCATTTGTCTTATAGTTTTTCTTTGCAACATGTTTAATTTTCCACCTCTAATCATCTGTACAGTTTATTTGTTAGACAATATACTTGATGCATTTAATTATGATCTCTCTTTACTCTTGATCTTAACGTGGGAGCAGAAGCTATCTGATCTAGAAATTTAGTGGAAATCATTTTTTATTTACAATTATTTTTGTTACAGTATATGCTTGACTGCCAGGCAACTTATGCTTATATGTTCTTTCTACCAGGTACAAAAAGCTTTTATCGAGTGTTGACTTGACAAAGGATTTTTTCTATAGTTATACCTATCCTGTAATGCAAAGTTTACAGAAGAATGTATTGTCCAATGAAGATGAAGGGATGCCCTATGATAATTTATTTGTTTGGAATGCTTATTTAACACAAGCAATCAGATCAAGATGCAATAACACCATTTGGACAATAGCTTTAGTTCATGGCCATTTTAAGCAGGTAGGCTGCTTTGCTTCTTCTCCCTATTATCGGTACTGATTTTTTACTGGTCAAATATGAGTTATCTATGCTTATTTCATGCCTTCGTTCTCATGGAAGATTCTTTCCTATTGTCCTTGAATATGTGTATTTACATTCTTTTTCATGCTCCATGATGTTGTCGAAGTTTATCTTTTGAAATGTGATTAACATGGGGTTGCGGTGAATACTAAATTGTCTTAGGAAAAATTATTTTAGGGTCACAGCAGAACCATAATTATGCTTGGCAATAGCTAGGTTAATTAAGTGTATGACTGGAATTAGATTGCAGCTTATTGAGGATGGAGTGGATTCACGTTGACTTGGAATTTCTTCCCCACCCCCCAACGGGTTTTTGGTTTTTTTGGTGGTGAGGGAGGTTATGTGGCATGGATCTTTCCTTGGTCTTCTTGACTTCATTTGCCCCATTTCTTTACTTGTTGGGGTTCCTCTAGGCTTTGTATAAATCCTAGTACCAGTTTTTAACTCTCCAGATTTTGATAATTTTCTCCTTGCTAATCTTCTATGGAAGCTCAAGACTCTTATACAGAACACATTGCCTTGTGAGATTTTTGCTGTTATGAGGTCACTTCTACTTCTGTGAAAAACATTTCTTTAAGAGCTAATATCAAGAAATTATCAATTTAGTCACTTTACCCATTAGTTTCCTCTTTTGCCTGGTAGACCCATCTCACGGGATTTAATTTTTTTAGAGTAATTGTACACATGTCACGTGTGTTTCTTTCATTGTACTCGTCACTGATAAAACAGGGATTTGCTGACATTTCTTGCATTTGACATCAATTATTTTTTGTATCCCTTTTGTTCTTGGGTTTTTCTACTTTTACGAGCCTACTCTGATTCCATTCCTTTCTTAAAAGTAAAAATAAATCCATTAGCCCCTATAGCTTATGCCGATTTTTAACTAGGTTCTTATAGTTTCAAAATGTTTTAATCTGTTTTTATACTATATCATGGCTACAAAGTTAGTCCTTACACTTTTGTCAGTTAGTAATTTTATCCCTGAAATGATTTTGTCTAAACAAAGTTAATGAGTCACTGATGTGGTACATTAATTGTTGATATGGAATCTGAGCAAGCAACACCAACTATGGGACAGCATATCACCAGTACGTGGTAACCCTCTTGATGCACCAAAAAATCTGGGCTTTCCTGGTTTTCTTTTCTTCACCTTCTTGTAGATCCACAAATTCAGGACCTGGAGCTTTGATGATGTTTGCGTTTATTCTTCCTCTACCATGCCTTGTTTGTTGATGCTGTGGAAGGTCTTCTGATATTCTTGATCTGATGATGTCCTCCATCACTGTCAGTTGAGCTCAAATCTGTCTTCTAGCCCCACCTGTTGCTCTTCCAAATCCATTGATAATTTAGTTTGGGAAGTTGAGTAACATTGTGTGGTAGTTGAAGTCCCCTAATTGACCCGTCAAACCAAAATGGGGGCTTTTTTCGTTGAGCAGAGATTAGTTGGGTAGGCAAAAGGATGGTGCATGTCTGTATGAGGTGGGCTATTGTGTGTTGGTCATGTGTAGTCCCATACCTGCTACCTCTGGTGTAAACTGTAACTGTCAATGGATTAATTTTACCTTCTTAAAAAGCTTATTTTTCTATAAAAAATAAAAAATGTTAAATTTATTTGTTAGGTAGGTTTTTCTATGTATATATGCACACACATAAATATGCAACACGTTATTGTTGTTTCTTTTGTGTGTTCAAATGATTTTTATTGACTTGTAAATTAGTTTTTAATGGTGTGATATCATAGTTCAATGTATAACCAATTCTTGAGTCTTTAACAATGGCAGATGCGTCTTTCAATTTTCGGGAGGGACTTCAGTGTTTGCTTGGTTTCTAGACGATCAAGACATTTTGCTGGAACACGGTTTGTTCTTTCTTGTTCTAATATTTTATTCAGATGTCATGTATTTACATTTTGTCATGAGAAGCATTGTGATAATTTAATGCTAACTGACTTTGTTTACTTTTCTGAATTTCTTAATTAATTCTTGATAGCGTTCTGCTAAGTTTGTCTCCTCTCACCTTTTCCCCTGCTTGCTGGAGGGAGGGGTTGCTGATGGATGATTAATAGTGTTTGTTATGGATTACGTATTAAATATTGTCATTCTTTACTAGTTAACTTAGAATTTAGTATCTAAGTAGAGTTTTATCATTAGGGACAAAGTCTCAATGGTTGTGACAAGTTGTTAGTATTCATGACTTTAATTTTTTATGGGTAACAAGGTTGGGTGTCAATATTGTTATCATTAGGTTTAGTAACAAGGTTGGGTGTTGACTTAGAATAATAGTGGGTTAGAGTTTAGCAACTAATTAGAGTTTTATCATTAGGGACAAAGGCTCAATGGTTGTGACAAGTTGTTAGAATTCATGACTCCTAGTTTGTTATGGGTAACACGGTTGGGTGACAATATTGTTAGGGAGATATTGATAAATCTTTCTGGAGTCTTCATCTATTAGTTGAACATGTGGGGATAAAATGGTTGACCTGGTGTTAGGCCCTGTGTGACCATTTGTTGCCTTAGTAGGTTTCAATAGGATTTTGTTGCATTGATTTATTTATGTTCTTATATTTTCTGGTTTTAAGGATATCTGATCATAAATAAGATAAAATGCATTTTCTTTTATTCCCAATGGAATTTCCCTAGCATCTGGTTTACTGTACTAGCCATGTTAGAATTTCCTATTTTCTTCCTCTAGCTGGTGGCATTGTAGGATTAAAATGCTAGCCACTAGTTCCCCCTTGTGATGGAATCGCCTCATTAATGATGTCATTCCACACCTTTTAAGCCATAATGGTTTCTTTCCTATTTTGTCCGTCTAATATCTTCTTTATGAGGTTATATTTGTGTTGTTAATTGTGCTTTATTCCCCTTAGTTTTTTCTTTCTTATTTTCTTCGTTTCTTTTCCCTTGTTAAATGCTATTTTCCTAAACGGTGAGTAGCAGTCCCCTCGTGCCTTCACCCTGTATAAATTCCCGACACATTATTCAACAAAACACAGCAATGTTGAGGAGATATTTTCTCACCTCTTCCTCGAGTCTTTTGTCCTTTCCATTCAAGTTAGATATTGAAAAAGAATTTGATTTTGTTGAGCTTGGAGATATATGTAAGCAACTTTCTTGCTCAGGGAGAATCAGGTTTATCTTCTGTCATTGTTGGTTTGTGTCAGTCCACAATGCTTGTAGTTGGCTAAAATTGCGCCATAGGCTCACTAGTTTGTATCAAACACTTCTATTTGCTGACACAACATCACTAAGGAACAATAGCTACGTTGCGTGAGGTCATGCGTCAACACTTTTTTACTTGAGATAGAGCCATTGTGTTTTCCATGGAGCAGCAAGTTCTTTAGGTTGTCTTGGCTACAATATAGGTTTTGCTGATTTCAAGTGTCATGATATTGATTGGCAATGGCTTGACCATTTTATTTTCAGCAATCTAGACTTATACCTCGGATCCCCTACTACTGGTTAACTAGCCCCTTTAGGGAGTTGATTTTCCTCTTCCTTTGATGAACACGTGCACATTTTGTGACCATTGTAGATTATTGCTGCCTTGGATTCGTGGCCAATAACATCTGAAGAAATGTTTTTGGCAACTTGCTACTGACTCCAGAGGCTTGACAGGTGTCTGGTTAGCAAGTAGTTATGGCATTGCCATTGCCAATGTGGGTGTAGAGGTGGTGTTCCTTGCATTGGTTTGTGGTGTGTTAACGATCCCCATCTACTCTTGGGAGGGTAATTGATGGAAATTACTCCGGCTTCTATATTATTAACTGAACGGAAAACAATCCACAGGATATAATCCTCATGAAAGATACATCCCGGTGGCCTAGTGTATTCGAGAGCACCACTCTCCTCACCACTCTCAACTCTTTTCATGCCTCTCTCTATAACCAATCCCCCATATATATCCCTTCCCTCTCTAACCGTCTCCCAAGTAAAAGCCACAATTACCCTTAACACAACTCACGCACCCCTCACGCCGATCGGTTTACATATGGGCTTTCTTTCTGACATAAGTATATCGAGGCCCATACTCAACAATACCCCCCCCATGAAGGTTAGCCTTGTCCTCAAGGCGAAAGTCGGGAAATTGCTGTTTGATAACATCGTAATCTTCCCAAGTACTATCACTATCGGGAAGGTTGGCCCACTTGATGAGAAGCTCAATTTGCCCATTAGTCAAACGGCGGTGCCGAACCACTGTCAGGGGAGTGACCTGAAGTTCCAAATCGCTCGTGAGTGATGATGGCAATGGATGTGGAGTAGCAGACGGGGACAGAGACTTCTTAAGCTGGGAGACGTGAAAGACAGGATGAATGCGAGTAGTGTCGGGAAGTTGAAGACGGTACGCAACAGATCCCACCCGGTCAACCACTGGAAATGGTCCATAGTAGCGGGGACTCAGCTTCTCGTTAGGCCTCCTAGCCAAGGTGCGATAGCGATATGGTTGCAGTCGCAAATAAACGTGGTCACCCACTGAAAACTGAAGGTCACGGCGTTTCTTATCACTGGAAGTTTTCATGTATTGCTGAGAACGCTCCAGATTCTCCTTTAGCTCTGTTAAGATGCTGTTCCTTGTTCGGATTTGTTCATTAACGGCCTCGGCGACAGACAGGGGTTCTTGAAAGCGAAACAGAGTGGGAGGGTCTTGACCGTACAGAGCTCGAAAAGGAGACATTCCGGAGGAACGGTTGTAGTTGGTGTTAAACCAATATTCAGCCCAGCACAGCCACTTGGACCAAGACGACGGTGACCCACTACAAAAGCATCGTAAATAAGTTTCAAGGCTGCGATTAACGACCTCAGTTTGGCCATCACTCTGCGGGTGGTAACTGGAGCTATATTTAAGAGAAGTGCCGGCAGCCTTGAAGAGTTCCTGCCAGAAAGTACTCAGGAATAGCCGATCCCTGTCGGACACAATAGACCTTGGAAAGCCATGGAGGCGCACAATGTCTTTTATAAACAACTCAGCAACTTGGGCAGCAGTGTAAGGATGACGAAGGGGCAAGAAGTGAGCATATTTCGTGAATCGGTCTACCACAACCAAAATAGTGTCAAAGTGTTGGGATTTTGGTAGTCCCGAGATGAAATCCATGGATATGTCTGTCCAAACATGATCAGGAATTGGTAACGGCTGTAACAAGCCGGCGGGACTAAGGGCCAAATGTTTATTCTTCTGGCAAACATCACAAGCTGCCACGTACTTCTGAATGTCGCGCCGCATGCCATCCCAATAGAACAGGTGAGAAAGACGCTTGTAGGTCCGTAAATACCCGGAGTGACCCCCAATGGGAGAGTCATGAAATTCACGCAGCAGGATGGTGATGCGGGGTGATGACTTGGATAGTACTAGACGGCCATTAAACAAGAGGTGACCTCCTTTTAGACTATACCCAGGTGGAACCGATTGTCCTGTAATCAACGACTGAATGATCGGACCCAGAGTTGCATCCCGCTGAACTTCGGTGTCCCATGCCACGACGTCATCAGGCCGAACCAAGGAAATGGAGTGTAGAGTAATTGGCTCTTCTTTTCTGGAGAGTGCATCAGCAGCAGAATTGGCGGTGCCCGGTTTGTATTGTATCTGAAAATCATAGCCCAGTAATTTAGAAACCCACCCTTGCTGTGAATCCTCCAATACGCGCTGCTCGAGCAGAAACTTTAGGGCTCTCTGATCAGTGCGAATGATAAAAGGTCGTCCCAAGAGGTAATACCGCCATTTTCGCACAGCAAATACAATTGCCATCAACTCCCTCTCATATACAGACATTTGGCGACGCCGTGAAGACAAAGACTGGCTAAAGTAAGCCAAGGGTTGACCAGACTGCATAAGTACAGCTCCTAACCCAGTTCCAGATGCATCAGTCTCCACTATAAATGGCTGAGAAAAATCCGGCAGTGCTAACACAGGAGTGGAGGTCATCGCTGATTTAAGTCTGTTGAAGGCATCCTGGGCAGCACTGGACCAACAGAAAGCATTCTTTCGCAAGAGATCAGTTAGAGGAGCAGCAATCATACCGTAGTGACGCACAAAACGCCGGTAATATCCTGTCAAACCAAGGAACCCCCTCAAGCTCTTTAGGGAAGTCGGGACAGGCCAAGAAGTCATACTCTCAACTTTGGACGGATCTGCATGGACCCCCTCCGTAGATATTATATGGCCTAGGTACTCCAATTGAGCCTGAGCAAAGACACATTTCTTAGTGTTAATGATGAGGGAGTGCTGTTGCAGGATTTGCAGAGTGAGTCGTAGGTGCTGTAAGTGAGAAATCCGATCACCACTGAAGATTAGGATGTCATAAAAAAAAACAAGAATGAACTTGCGGAGATACTGGCGGAATATGTCGTTCATGAGGGATTGAAATGTGGAGGGAGCATTCTTCAATCCGAAAGGCATGACTAGAAATTCATAATGGCCATCATGGGTACGGAATGCAGTCTTTGATTCTTCCCCCTGCTTCATGCGGATCTGGTGATATCCAGATTTTAAATCCAATTTTGAAAAAATCCGTGCTCCACCTAACTCATCTAATAGCTCCTCAATTGCTGGTATAGGAAATTTATCCTGGATAGTCAACTTGTTTAAGGCGCGATAGTCCACACAGAAGCGCCAGCTGCCATCTTTTTTCTTTACCAACAAAACTGGACTTGAAAACGGGCTTTTGCTGGGACGGATGATGCCGGCGTTTAGCATCTCTTGCACCAGACGTTCAATCTCTGCTTTCTGGTGGTGTGGATAACGATAAGGGCGAATATTGGGAGGAGTGGCCCCCGGTTGCAAATCGATAGTGTGGTCAACGTTCCGAACAGGGGGTAGGCTATGTAGAGGTGTTTGAACTGCAGGGAACTCCCTCAATACTTCTTGAACATCATCCCCGATAGAAGGGCCCGCTAGTTCGGTCATCTTTAATTCAGAGAACTCCACAAGGAAAGCGTCTTCGTTATTGTGCGTTGACCGATAGAGAGTATTATAAGACATAGGTGTCTTGTGCAACGTCGGATTCCCTTTTAAGCAAACCCAGTCACCGCCCATGTCAATCTTCAGAGTGGACCGCTTCCAGCTAAC